CTCTAGACCAGCCTGGGATATAGGAAACTCTGTCTCAAAACACCCAAACGAACTAAAAACCCCAAACTAATCCTAAAGAGTACAGTGTATTAAATTTTAGAAATTAAATAAATTCAGTTGCAGAATGGTATTAAGGAACCATGGCTAATCAATAGATTTTCACCACAGAGGAAGAGACTGGTGGGCAGAATAGTATGTGTTTCAAGGACTGTGAGGCAATCCCAGAAGGTCTAACAGACTTGTGCTCTGGGTTTTAGGAGAAGAAAAGGGTAGAATTCAGAAAAACCATTTAAAGAAGTAACACAGGAAGCCTGTTCATGTTGGCAAAGGAAGTAAGTGTTCAGAGTCAAGAAAACTGGCTGTACCCAAATATGATACAGGTGTATTCTGCGATACATGTATTAGTCATCCATCTCACTGCCTCCTAGCTTTTGTGATGTGGTTTTTATGTGGGTTTCAGCACCACTAGTCATTCGAAACCTATGTAAGTAGGAAAACATTGAAACTCTATCTTTTTATCTCCCTCCTTATTATCTGGGATACTAATACTTTACGTGGTAAGTTTGCATGTTTAATGTAGCCATCGCCACATACCTGGGTAGTTTTCCTCTCCTAAGTCAGAACAAGGCAGCCTCTTGACAGATTGTGATGTAGCAAATTAACATTTGGTCTCTAACACAGAGCTTCTAAAGCCAGTGTCATTTCCTGAATGATAGGAGAATCCTAATTATTGGGCAGGGGTACAAGTTGAACAGTGCGGGGACAGGATCTCATGTAGCACAGACTGATTTTGAGCTCCCTGTCTTCCTGCCTCCACATCTCAAGTGCTGGAATAATGGGAGCATCACCATGCCTGGCTAGAACATCTTTAATTATGAAATTTGACATAGTCCCAGTTCTTAGAGCTTCCAAAACCCTTGATGTCTGTGTATTGGTAGAAGGGGTTTCGTTGTCTTGTTTTGTTGTTAAATTAATGAATTTTCTGCTAGCTAAAAAGCCCCCACATAGCTCCAGGATAAAGGCTGGTTATCAGAGATACCAGTTGTGAGTAGTGGATTTTCATCTTACTTGATGACCACAAGATTGGGCAAGAGACTATAGACTAACTTAATGACCAGTGGTAGTCAGTGATTTAGTTATTCATGCCACATTGGACTCGTATTAAACGGAGACTATAGACTAACTTAATGACCAGTGGTAGTCAGTGATTTAATTATTCATGCCACATTGGACTCGTATTAAACGGAGTTGTGGAAATGACTCAGCAGTTCAGAGTACTTGCTGCTCTTTTGGAGCACCCATGTGACTGCTCACAACTGTCTGTTAATTGCAGTGCTCTCTTATGATCTTCTATAACTCTAGTTCTAGGGGATCTGGTGCCCTCTTTTGACTTCCACAAACACCTGACATGCATGTAGTGCACTTATATACAGACAAGGAAAGCACTCATGCACATAAATTAAAATAAAATCAATTTAAAGCAACAAAACTTTAGGAACGGGAGGGATGGCTCAGTGGTTAAGAATAATGACTGTTGTTTCAGAGGACCAGGGTTTAATTCGCAGTGCCCACATGGCAGCAAACAACTATCTCTAACTCCAGTTTAATGGGGTGCACAGGCATATTCAGACAAAATATCTGTGCATATAAAATTAACAACAACAACAAAAACTCTTACCCAGTAGTTACAGAGGTTGGTGGGAGCATCATCGGGCTGCCCATCCCCGCCCTTTTAAATAGTTACTAAAATAAACTGATGATCTTGTTTCCCATAGCTTGTGAGCGATTACACTGAATTATTGGACTTGGGGACAGGGTTGTAGATTCCTCAGCTAATTACCAGTTGACCAGAAGTATTGATGAGACCTGGAATTTGAAATTGGCAACTGAAGTGGGGAGGATCTCAGCCTATAATTGTTGTCAGAATTGAATGTAGGCCTACATGTAGGGGGGAAAAGCCACATGGATTTGGTGCCTAAAGTATATGATTGTAGAGGAAATAGGTTCTCCTTGAATAAGTAATTAGGAATACAAATTGATAACTTTGTGAAAGATGGAAATTTACCCTATTCATGCTACTGATGTCTTTTTTTATCTAATAATACCTAAAAGCAGTGGACTTTGGCCGCAGTTTGGAACGAGAAGGAAGTTAAGGTGTTGATGTTGTGAAAAAGTTCAAATCTTGCCCAGCACAACAGTTTTAATCGGTGAAAATAGAAATGCAGTCTGTATGTTGGCTTGGCACCTCCTGTTGTAGCACAGTGTCTGGTTCTTTGCATGAGAAAGCCCATTTTGCTTGCTTTCCTAATGATTTAGGGCTTGTGAGAAAGGGTTTGAGAGCTTTGCTGCAGTCAGATAATAAAATGTAACTATATGAAGTACGATGATACTTTAAAATTCTTCATTTTTGAAAATACTGAAAGAGACTCAGGCGTGAGGAGCAGAGAAACAGGGTGTTTGCTTGTTTGTAAATGAAGTTTCATGTGTTATGTTTAGGAAAAAAATTGTGGTAGGTGCTTGTTTTAGTTTCTCTGCGATTGTCCAGACTACAGAAGATGGTAGAGTTTAAAGCTCAGTTCTCTTAATCAACAAACCCTTGCAACATATTCTTTTGTTTGTTTGTTTGTTTGTTTTGAACTCTGAGATCCTCCTGCCTCTGCCTCTCAAATTCTGAGATTAAAGGCTTGTGTTCATCAAGGTTTTCATTTTTAAATTGTTAGTTTACTGAATTTATTATATTTAAATTCTGCATATAAAAGATAACAAGTACACATAATTGTAAGGTCACTGGGAATAAGAAATATAATTCCGCTTTCTAACCTCCCACATGACAGATGCTAATGTACTTTATGTGTTTTTGTCTAGCCACATTCCAAAAATGATTTGCAGGAATCACATGTTCTTTTCCCATAATGTCCACAGTAAGTTTTGAGTTTGTAAAACATAATGAGGACATTTAATTGACAAATAGCAAAAGTCATGGTAGGTGTGGGAATATAGCTCAGTTGGTAGAGATTTTTCTTCCTTTGCATAAAACTTGGTTCAACCCCTAGTACTACACAACTAGGTGTGGTGGAGCACATTTGTAATCCTGTCATCTAGGACCTGGGGACAAGGAGATTTACAAGGTCATGTTTATAAAAAGATCAAGCCTAGCCTGAGCTACATGAGACACTGTCTTTAAAAATAAATGTATGTATAGTTGGGCGGTGGTGGCCCATTCCTTTAACCCAGCACTCATAGAGGTGGGTAGATCTTTGTTAGTGTAAGGCCAGCCTGAAGCCCAGCCTGTTCTACAGATCAAGTTCTACAACAGTCAAGGCTTGTCTTGAAAAATAAAAAAACCCCAAAACCAAAAAGTATGAAAACAAAAAGTGTGTGTGTGTGTGTGTGTGTGTGTGTGTGTGTGTGTGTGTGTGCATGCATGCAGCTAATTGGATGGTGAGCTGCATATTTAGCTGTTGGACAAAACAAAGGAAAAACAGTTATTATACATAATGTCATAAAATAAAATCAATCTAGCTGTCAGTGAGCTTGCAGTTGACAGCCACTGCTCCTCCACCTGTTATTGCTGTTTTTATTTCTACTTTTGCTCCTCACTTTTCTTTTTTTAAAGATTTATTTATTTATTACATATACAGTGTTCTGCCTACATGCCAGAAGAGAGCACAAGATTAAATTGTAGATGGTTGTGAGCCACCATATGGTTGCTGGGAATTGAACTCAGGACCTCTGGAAGAGCAGTCAGTGCTCTTAACCTCTGAGCCAACTCTCCAGCCCCTCCCCTCTTTTCTTTTTAAGGTGGAGATTTTTGTTTAGTTTTGTTTTTGGTTTGAGACAGGGCTTCTCTGTTTAGCCCAGCCTGTACTGAAACTCATGGTGTAGACGAGTCTGGCCTGAAACTCATTGATCTGTCCAACTCTGCCTCCCTAGTGCTGGGATTAAAAGTGTGCTCCAACACTGCCCTGCTAAGTTTTAGGTCTTGTTAAAGACATGCACTTGACATGAGTTGGGAGAAAGAGGTGCTCAAAAGAAAGTCAGATGCACCCAGATACTGAGTATAGCCTTCTCAAAGCAGAGCCCAAGCTCTCTCCTGAGGGGGACCATAGAGCTAGCTCACTGGCCGGCCAGCCAGCCATGCTGAATTAATAAGGTCCAGCTTCCCTGTCTTTAAAAATGGAAGCAAAAGAGGAAGCTCCCCAGTGTAGACCTCTTCCTCTGTCTGCACATACACACATATTTACAATTGACTGAAGTTAATTCATTTTCATCCCCCTTGGCATTTCTTGTTGGATTGGCAAGCCGTTCCTGTATGCCATGTCAGGTAATTACTACAAGTACAGGAATGAAGGATATGTAGAGAAGATGTCCATTTTAATTTATGTGCAGTGCTAGTGGATCAAACCTGAGGCTTTGTGCATGCTAGGCAAAAGCTCTGCCACCTAAGGCATATCCTACCTCAACTAAGTAAATCTTATTAGACATATTACATATGCTCTGCATTGTCCTGCCTGAATCTTTAGAAAAAGGCCAATGATCTGTGGGGTGATTATACATATAGTTAGAATACCTTTTACTGTCTGTTGGCAATTAATGACAAATTCGTGTTATTTTTCCTTTTGTTTGTTTTGTTTTTCTGAGATAGGGCCTCACATAGTCCAGGGTGGTCTCAAACTTACTAGTCTAGCCAAGGCTGGCCTCGAAATCCTATTCTTCCTGCTTCTGCCTCCTGTACATGTAAAATGTCGTCCTTACTGTCTTGGTTTCTTTAGTCCCATTCCTCCATGGAGACCACTGGTGTTTTGACCAGCATTTGTTGTAGCCGCTCTACTTGCTAACGGAACACTGGATTAACTCACCATCGGCAGTGAGTTCTCGCCGATGTCTGTATGCAGGTGCCTGACGTGGCTGCACTGCCTTCCTGGGCCCACGTTGTCCTTGAGAGGGGCCCTTTGGTGTTCCTGGGCAGCACTCGTGATTGTTTTCGTTTCTCATTACAGGTTCATGTCAGAGCTGGTCTTTTTCATGGAACTGAGCTCCTGTGTAAAACTGTCGTCAGCTCGGAGATATCAGGAAAAAATGATCATATTTGGAATGAACAGCTGGAATTTGATATTAATATTTGTGACTTACCAAGAATGGCTCGATTATGTTTTGCTGTTTACGCTGTTTTGGATAAAGTAAAAACGAAGAAATCAACAAAAACTATTAATCCCTCTAAATATCAGACCATCAGGAAAGCTGGGAAAGTGGTAATGATATAATAACTTCAGAAAATTGTTTATATGACAGAATATTTTAAGGCTCTGAAATAATTAAGAGAAGTTGAGTTATTTCATGTGACTTGAACCCTAAGAACTAGTTTCAAGAAGATGAAAAATTGTCCATATCCATGTCTTTTTTTTATGTTATTCTCTCAAACTTATTTGAGGAGATTTCATGATGCAACTGTCCTATTACAGAAACGTAGAAACCTAGGGTGGCCCAGTGCTGTCACTATCTGTAGCTCAGGCTGACCTCAAACCCACTATGACTCTCCTGCCTCAGCCTCTGAATGATGGGGCTAGCAGGCATGAGCCCCTGAATCTGGAAAGTGACAACATTTTTAAAACAGCAATCCGTAGTACCTTAACGAAAACTCCAAGCAGGTATATTTAAAAATTACGATTTTTTTTATAATTTTAGAAAGATTATAGATTGTACCTCAGCACAGTTGGCATGACTTTAAGACATAAATGTGTGTCTGGATGTGTTTTGGAATGAAATAAGAGTATTTGTATTAAATGTGAAAAATCAAACCTTTTTGTTAGTTTTAGATAATCTCTGTTTCTGTTTTGCTGTCACCTTAGTATAAACAAACTTAGCTTTCAGAATCCCTTGTATCTCCCAGGATCCCTTGGAGATCCTAGTTAAAGGGTGTTAGACCTGTTGTCAAATGGCCATCTTCCATATCTCTACCTTTACACACACACTCACATATGTACACCCTCACAGGCACGCACATACATACATACATACATACATACATACATACTCCCTGTATTTATTTATCATTTTAAAGACAGGTCTTTTTGTGTAGTTCAGGCTGCCCTGAAAAGTCATAGTGTTACCTATGTTGGCTTTGAGCTCTCAGTCACCTTACCTCTGCCTACTGAGTAAAGTTTGTGCAACTAGAGTTGTCTCAGAACTAATGATGGTTTTGTTCGAGTTTCCAGTTCTGGGGATTGAACCAGGGCCTTCTGTGTGCTCAGGTTTACCGCTGACCCACAGTCCTACCCTATCTATTTCATGTTATTAGTCCAGATTTTTCTTTTCTTCCCTCTCTTTCATGTTCTCTCTCTTTCCGTGCCTGTCTCTCTCCTGTCTGTCTAGATAGGAAGGCTCACAGCCCAGACTAGCCTGAGACTCTCTAGGTCTCTAGATTGGATGGCTCACAGCCAGCTGAGGATGCTCTTGACCTTCTGATCTTCTGTCACCCTTGCTTGCATAGTGAGTTTAAGACCAGCCTGGTGTATAACAAAACACTTAAGATGGGAAGAAAAATCTGAGAATATTAGCACTCCCTCTGCTTATTATGATATATCCTCTGAAAATAAAATATAATGTCTCAAATATCATAAAGAGGCTGGTTCCTTTGTGGGCTTTCCAATCTTGATAATAGAATTCTCAAAGATTTGAATATATATATATTGAATATATATATATATGGGGGGCTTGCACTGTCGTTCTCTCTCCTTCCCTCCCCTCCTCCCTCTCTGTCTCTCTCTGTCTCTCTCTCTGTCTCTCTCTGTCTCTCTCTCTCTCACACACACACACACACACACACACACACACACACACACACACACACACACACACACACACACACTGATCTAGGCTGACCTCATAAGAGTCCTAACAGTGTAGTGCCATTTTTGTTGCTGTTTTTAAGACAGGGTCTCACTATGTAGCTGGGTCTAAAGGCATGTACCACTGTGCCTGATTTTAAAAACAAACAAACAGGTTCTCAATCTGTAAATCACACTGGTCTGTAACTTGCTGTGTAACCCAGGCTGGCCTTGAAATCATAGCAGTCCTCCTTCCTCAGCTTCCTGAGCTGGGATTGCAGGTGTGAGTCACCACATAGGACACCAGCGACTCCCTTTTAGCAACATAAGTCAATTCCTGCAATATCCAGAGGCAGCTTCCTCCCATGCTGAGATTTACTGTACCACCCACGTTGTACTCATCATTTAAAAACTTCTTCAGTTTCAAAAGCTGAAACAAAACTTTCTGTTTTGTTGACATACTGTTTTATTGTGGTATTAATTGGCCTGTAGAATTTTTCCTAAAGATAACTGAAATTGTCTTTTCTTTTCATTTTGAATGAACTTTTGGAAGTTACCTAGGACTTCAGAAATTTCTAGCACTAACATTGGAATAGGGAACATGAACATTGGCATGCCTTGAAGTCCATTCTGGGTTTATTTATGTAATGATGCCTTTTTCAACAGCATTATCCCGTAGCATGGGTAAATACGATGGTTTTTGACTTCAAAGGACAGCTGAGGTCTGGAGACATCATATTGCACAGCTGGTCTTCGTTCCCTGGTAAGATTTACGTTCTAAGCTCGGCCCCTTGCGCTGGAGAGCAGCTAGAATTTTACTGGAGCATTACCCAGCCTTGTTGTTGTGTTCCAGTAAAGACATTATCTTTGTTATTTATTCTTTTTTGCTGTTTTGTTTTGTTTTTGAACAAGGTCTCTCTGTGGCTGACCTGGAACTCGCTCTGTAGACCATTCTGGCCTCGAACTCACAGACATCCTCCTGCCTCTGTGTGCCACCGCATCGAACTGTTACTTATTCTAATGACTTACAAGCAGTATTTTGCTACAGACATGAAGTTCTTGATTGTATTTTTTTTATTTCAATGTTCTTGTTTTAAACATTTTGTTTTTGTAGGTTTTTAAAGAAACCTCCTGAGTAGCAGTGTCTTATATAACAAGCTTAATTGCTCATAGTTGTGAATGAGCCTTCCTAACTCCTTCAACTTAGAAAACAGCAAAAGCATGTGTTCTTCAGTTGAATTTAGCCTGATGATCAAGATAAAAGAAGTCCCTCCCATATACATAAAGCTTACCTATACAGTGTGCTTAATTTTCTTTATTTTTTAATTTTTATTTTTAAATTTAAATTAGAAACAAGGTTGCTTCACATGTCAATCCCAGGTCCCACTTCCTTTCCCTCCCTTACCCCCACCAACCCCCCCAAATATCCCCTCATTTCCCCAGGGAGGGTGAGGCCCTCCATGGGGGTGTCCATAATCTGTCATTTCATCCAGGGCAGGGCCTAGACCCTTGCCCAAGAGTCCAGGCTGAGAGTGCATCTCTCATTGTGGGATGGGCACCCAAAGTCCATTTGTATACCCAGGATAAATACTGATCTACTTCCCAAGGCCCCATAGATTGCCTAGGCCTCCTCACTGACACCCACATTCAGGGGGTCTTGATCAGTTCTATGCTGGATTCCCAGCCATCAGTCTGGGATTCAAGAGCTTAATTTTCTTAGGTGACATGACTTTTAGGACATTTTCGTGAAAGAAAACAAGTTCCAAACTTTTGTTTTTGTTCGTATAATTATTTTAATTTTATTATTTTGTTTTTGTTTTTGTTTTTCTTGAGACATGGTTTCCTCTGTGTAGCCTTGCCTGTCTGGGAACTTGCTCAGGAGATCAGGCTGGTCTCTAACTCACAGAAATCCACTTGCCTCTGCCTTCGGAGTGTTGGGATTAAAGGCGTGTGCCACCACTGCTCTACAAGACTTTTTTTTTTAGTTTAGTTCCAAAAACTCTTTCTTAAGAATCCAAATTATTTGCATGTTTTAGATGAGCTGGAAGAAATGCTGAATCCCATGGGCACTGTGCAGACGAACCCATATGCTGAAAATGCAACTGCCTTGCACATTAAGTTTCCAGAGAATAAAAAGCAGCCTTATTATTACCCTCCCTTCGATAAGGTAAGATAACTGAAACACCACTGTGCTTGAGAGAATTGAGTCATTCCTGGGTAAAAATGTTCAGTACAAGCTCAGTGTGTCTGGTTCTTTCACAACTCTCCATACGTTGACATTATGATCCATTGGAAGGCTGTGCAATACCGTGATATGTTTTGCCTCATCTCTGACCAAATGAAGCTTGGTGTCTCTGGAGTTCTGGGACCATGTTTACAAAGTGGGATTTAATTGTTCTGAATTCTTTTCTGTTGTAAAAAGTCTCTTAGGTGTATTCACGAATACCTCTGAATGTGTAATGTGTTCTGTGAAACATGCATGGCATTTATGCCGCTGTTACTGCTTTCAGGAATTTAAGGGTAGTGGCTGTAAGGCAGTGTCTCACTCTAACCAGCATGACCTAGAACTCACTGTGTAGCCCACACTTGCCCTGACTTTGAGTCTTCCTGCCTCCACCTTCCAAGAGTTGGACTGCAAGGGTAAGGCACCATGCCCAGCAATGACTGTAGACTCTGTAGCAAGGATTTCCATTTCAAAATACATCCTTAGTGTGCAAGTTGTGCCTCTGAAGGGCGACTGTTTGGTGGAGCCTGAAAACAGGACTGAAATGATTTGTACACTAAGAAAGCCCAGTTCTCATGTTTTTTTCCCTCTCCCACCCCCTCTGGAAGTTGGACCCAAGTTTTGAGGCACACCCTTAACCACCAAGTGGCACCCCTAGCCCTTTCTAATGTCTTTTGATTCATATTTTGTTTTTGTCTTATGTGTATGAGTATTTTGCTTGTACATATGAATGTGCATTATGCGTGTGCTTGGTACTCAAGGAGGTCAGAAGAGGGCATCAGATGCCCTGAAACTGGTGTTACAGACTGTTGTGAGACACCATGTAGGTTTCTGGGAACAGAACCTGGGTCCTCGGGAAGAGCAACAAGTGTTCCTAACCACTGAGCCATCTCTCCAACCCCCTCTAATAGGTTTTGATTTTTAGGTTTGACATTTCTTTTTAAGTATGACTGGTATTGTTGTAATACAGAAATATTGGGGCAAATCCCCAAAACATACACAAGAAATTTCTTAATCCAAATGAAAAAAGGCTACCTTTAAAGTACTAAATAATATCTACATTAGCCCACTTACAAACTCAGATAGTTTTAATATAGATATTACCAGACTTGTATAAAGGATACTTGTATATGTTGGAGCTGTCAGTACGTGTGTGTGGGGGGTGGGGGGTTGCTAAGCAGAACTCTTTATATTAGGAAGCTATATACTCAATCCCAGAGATGGCTTCTAGAGTATTGTGAATCTTAATTATGTAATTCAACGTTGCTTTCTTTATTTGTACTTTAAGTGAATTGAATCCCCAAGAGCCAGTTTCTCAGTACAAGGTCTTTAAGAACGTTTTTTCTGCCCAGTGTGGTGCCTCACACCTGTAATCCAGCAGTGTGACACTGAGGCAGGAGGATTGCAAGTCATCCTGGGTTACATATAAAGTGGCTCTTTCTCAAAAACATGAAAAAACAAACAAACAAAGAGCCATGGATGCAACTCAGTGGTAGAGTTCTCCCAGCACGTGCAGGGGCCTGGGTCCAACGCCAGCACTGCAAGTTAAATGAATTTAAACATAGGATTAAAGCACTATTCTGATTGGTCATTTAAAGCCAAATTGAAAGTTGTGCTTTTTAAACCAATTGCTGAGTATGTTAGGAACTTTCCATTTTAATACACACCGAGTAGGGGAAAAAAACTACATTTTGATTCATCTGTTACATTTCTGGGGCACCTGTGGGTATCCTGAGAATAAGAATAAGAATTTGTGATCCACAAGCCACTGTTCTATGTGCTACATTCCATAGGCTTTTCCCTAGCGACTGTTAGCGCTATCGTGTGTGTCCACTGATCATTTACAGTTTATTGGGGGATCAAATTAGATGCTGCTTAAGGCATTTTTCAGATCTAACATACTATGCAAATACTTTTGCATTTATCTATTTTAGAGAAGTCAAATTTCTTTAACTATGTAATTTCACCATTGCTGCTGTCATTCTTTTTTGGTTTTACGAGATAGGGTTTCTCTGTATTGTTTTGGAGGCTGTCGTCCAGCCTGGCCTCGAACTCACAGAGATCCACCTGCCTCTGCCTCCCGAGTGCTGGGGTTAAAGGCGTGTGCCACCACTGCCCGGCTGCTGCTGTCATTCTTATGTAGTCTTTTTAGTTCCCCTGCCTCAGCATCCTGAGTACTGTGGTTGTAAGTTTGAGCCACTACACATGGAGAGTTCTGGAGATTTTGGTTCTTTTTCTCTGGGGCGAGAGGTGGTTCCTCAAGTGTGCTGGGCAGGTCCTCCATGGCACAGTCAGTGCCTCACCATGGCCTCCATTTAAACTTTCTTTTTCATCAAGGTCCTGCAAAGTTGCTTGGCAGGCCTTGATCTGCCCTTCTGCCTCTGAATTTTTTGTAATGATCACAAAATAAGTCACAGAAATGTAAAAGAGAAAAATCTCCCAAGGTGCTGTGTTGTTACTCAGTACTACTGCCTGCCATCAGTTTTGTCTTACGAGTCAATTTTATGACTATTGCTTAACTTTAGTGACTATACTCTTACCTGATCTTAGAAAACACCCTTTGGGATAGACTGCGAATCACCACACTTAACACATGATAACGTAGGTAAAGATACTTCTCAGCTTCCACAATGCCGTTGCCGCCACATTTTTAATGGCAGTGCTGAGGGTCACTCCCAGACGTTAAGAAACCTTCTACCACTGAGCTATACCTCCACCAAGCCTAGACTTCCACTTTAGCATCTGTGTTTTAGTTCCCTTTTCTCCGCGCATCCCTGCTGTGTAGCCCAGACCGGTCTCACACTTGCTGTCCCCCTCCCTCGCATGCTAGGCAAATGCATTACCTTGAACTACATACACCTCAGCCCCTGATAGCTGTTGATTTTGAAAAACCAAATGTAATGATAAGGCTTACCTATTTTAGATTATTTTTATTTTATGTGTAGTGTTTGCCTACACATATATATTTGTATACCATATATTTGCAGTCTCAGATCCCCTGAAAACTGTGAATACAGATGATTGTGAGCCACCATGTGGGTTCTGGGAACCAAGTCAGGTATTTTGGAATTATAGCAGCAAGTACATGTAACCACTGAGCCATTACTCTAGTCCCTTGCTTTAGTGACTCTTACTTTATCCAGAAACAGTCTGAGAGCGCCCTCTCTCTGCAATCTCTGCAGTGACACCATCATTTCTCTGTTGTCAAGAGTTTGAAGCACTTTGGGAAATAATGGGTTTTGTTGTTTCATTTTTAAAATTTGTTTCCATTTATAAGGGGTAGAAGTGTAAAGTGTGTGCAGTCTCCCAATCCAAGTATAAAATAGCTGTTAACATTGAAAATGTTACAGATATCAAAGCCAAAATTTAACCTTTTTATTATGATTTTTGAAACAGATCATTGAGAAGGCAGCTGAGATTGCCAGCGGTGACAGTGCTAATGTGTCAGTAAGTATCAAACGTCATCTGGCCCTTCTTGCTGCGCAGTTATGTGCAGTATGAGGGACCATCCCTCATCTGTTGTAATGAATGTATGGGAGACATAATTCCAAAGCAGTCTCACATCCCATTGCTGGCTACATGTAGGTTTGTTTTTGTGACTCGTATGCGAGTGGTAAACCCTTTTCTGAACAAGTTCAGGGTTATTGGCCCACAGTAGATGCTAGTCATCTCATAGATTTCCAGTACTATCTTAGTATCATTTAGTTAACTTAAGAGACCATGTTCTTTCACATAACAAAGCCAGTGTAAAAGGGACTAGTTTTACAGTGGGAGACCTGTGGTTCTCCCTGAGAACTCTGCCAAGTTGAATATGTCATTTCTGTTTTATGATTTACTGTTCCTGTTCCAGCTTCCTGTGTTTCTACATTACAGACAACAGAAGCGTCCATATAACAATTGATTCTAAGGCTATTGTTATTATATTCTGCTTATACATCCTGGGCTAGACCCTGGACACATAGCTAGACCTTAAGTGGGGCTGGACAGCATGATCTCTTAGGAGACTGGCGTGGTTTTGGCTGAGAGTAAGATATGCTAGTATTAAGGAAAGTAAAAGGGACGAGGGGCTTTGTTTAAATAGTCTAACTGTGCTCCAGACTAGTCTTGAATGCTCAGTCATCCTGCCTCAGCCTTCATGTTAGGAGTAAAGTGTGTGACTGTTGAGGCCTTGCATGACAGTGCATGCCTGTCATCTAGCATTTGGGAAGTAGAGGCAGAAAGACCAGGTCATCTTTGGCTGGTACCAGAACAAAGAACAGCAAACAAACCAAACACTGAGCCTCAGTCTAATATTCCTTCTTCGTTACTAAGTTACAGATTTTAAGCTTCTTCAGTTAGGGCATTCTTCCATAGAACAAAGTGGACAGATTGCATATAAATTTCATTGCTTCCTACAGAGACCAGTCTCTGAGATGGTGTCTAGACTGACTAGCAAGCTTCCAGAAGCCACTGGCTCTGACTTCTCCATGAATGGGATTTTACACACGCACACACGTACGCACGCACGCTATGGGTGGCTTTCACACAGGTGCTGGGGGTCAGAGTCCAGGCCTTTGTGCTTGCACAGCAGGCGTCCCACCGCCTTAGTTGAGCTACCTTCTCAGCTCAATGGCTCTTACGTGGAACTACTGCTGCTGCTACTGCTACTGCTATTACTGCTACTTGCTCTTTAGGGAGTGTTTCCTTGGTTGTGTGGATCTTGGTTTCTCTATTCTTAAGTTTTAAACTCTGGTTGCCTGCCTGTTCACAGTAAGTAATGAGCCTTCAGGATGAAGTCTACTACATGTGAAGGTTCCCAGGCATTCTGGGACCAGGTAGCTCCCAGGGGCGAACACTTTTACTCCTCACGCTGACATAATTCCTGTCTCAACATGGCCAGAGGCCCTCTTCCCTCCTCAGGCAGAAACCTTTAGTCTCCCCACCCTAATTTCCCTAGCTGCTTCCTCCTCCTCCTCGAATCTGAGCTCAGCTCCCTAGAGCTGTGCCTGGCATCGCACTGTTTGAGCCTGAAGACCCCATCCCTAGTCATACCTTCATTCTCTCACTGAAGCATCCCTGTTAGGTTCGTGTCAATTTGATGTTCATTTTTAGACAGATTGGCCTCAGACTCACTTTGTAGCTGAAGATGCCTTGAATCTCCTGCCTCTGTCTCCTAAGTGCTGGGATTGCAGCTGTACCATACACATGTGGCAGGAGTTTTGGTTTTGTTGCTGCTTCTGAACAGGATCACTCTATGTTGACTTGTACTTTGAATCCTTCTGCTGCATTTACACCATCACTGGTGAAATTCAACTTTTCCTTATTTTTGTTGGGTTAAGATCAAATCCAGGGCCCTGTGCATACGGGCCAGTGCTCTAGTACTGAATTAGCATTCTAAAATACAGAGGATTTTCTATTCTTGTTCCCACTATAAAGAGCTCCCACTTTATAGAAATTTTTATGCTTCTAAGTCAAGGCACAAGTCGAGAAGGTCTTTATTTACAACTTTTACTCTTTTTATGTTTGTGTTATCTTGTCCACATGGAGGTGGGGCGGGGAGGGGGTTGATAGAAATCAGAGGTGATGAAATGGCTCAGGACCCACGTGGTGGCATGCGTGGGCATGTGTGTGTGTGTGCTTGTGTGCGCATGTGTATGTGCGCGTGCAGGGTCTTAAAGAAGAAAGTCCACTCAAATAATAGTGAATTTCTAAGATATATTTAACTATGATATATTTAACCTAAAAGCAATAGTGCCATCTAGTGTTTGCACTTGGATTTGAAAACAAAAAACAGGAGACCCTTTCTTTATATGTAGCTTAGAAATTGAGCAATGCAAACTTTATAAAAGGATTCACTTTAATCTTTACACAGAATTTGTATTTTACTGGTAAGGCCTACAATTATAAATTCAGTGCCTATAAATTTGCTAAGTGGTTGCTTGCTTTGCACAGTTAAATTCTATAATGAGTATTTTACTTTCTTAAGAGTCGAGGTGGAAAAAAATTTCTTGCTGTACTGAAAGAAATCTTGGACAGAGACCCCCTGTCTCAGCTGTGTGAGAATGAAATGGATCTTATTTGGACTCTGCGGCAAGACTGCCGAGAGAATTTCCCACAGTCACTGCCGAAACTACTCCTGTCAATCAAGTGGAATAAGCTTGAAGATGTTGCTCAGGTAACAGAAAATTCTTCCCTCCCTCCCTCTCCTTATCCTCCCTCCCCTACTCCCCCCTCTTTCTTTCCCCCAAATAACAGAAAGTTCATTTCTGTAACTCTCGTTGCTTTTGTGTAATGTGTCTTTCCACTTGGTTATTTCCAGTTGTTGCATAAATTTTCTATATGCTTTTATTTTCTTTTGTTGTTTAAAGACAGAATTTCTCTGTATAGACCCAGTTGTCCTGGAACTAACTCTGTAGGCTTCAAAGTCAGAGATCTGCCATTCTCTGCCTCCCAAATACTGGGATTGAAGGCATGGGCCACTACTGCCCAGCTGTTTTCCTATTTATTTTATGTGCATTGGTGTGAAGGTGTCAGATCCTCTGGAACTACAGACAGTTTTACCTTTCCTCCTCCTCCTCCTTCTCCTCCTCGTCCTCGTCCTCCTTCTCCTCCTCCTCCTCCTCCTACTGTCCTTAAATGATGGGATGGCCAATGGTTGTAGAGTCCACATCTGCAGCGTCTTACTCTGTTCATTAAGCACATAGTAACCTTTTAAATGTATGTATAACATGTTTCAGAAACAAAAACAACCTTTGTTTGCATCTGCAGGAATGTTTGAGGCATCAGTAATTAACATTTTCCTTTCTTTTGACTCATCTCTGTTTCCTTATGCCAAGAAAGATACGTTACTTTTGTCTACCACAATTCTGACCTGGCTTTAATTTTAAACAGCTTCAGGCACTCCTGCAGATTTGGCCCAAACTGCCGCCCAGGGAAGCCCTGGAGCTCCTGGATTTCAACTATCCAGACCAGTATGTCCGGGAATATGCTGTTGGTTGCCTGCGACAAATGAGGTATCTCTTTTATGAGACCATCCTGGGGCAAGGAATTACTGGGTGGGTAAGACAGGGTGGTGGCTCCTTGAATGTATGGTGGCCAGGCCATATGGGCTCTAATCATAGTGCCCCCTGCTGGCTCTGTGGGCACAGTTCAGGTACAGTCAGCCACTCTTCCCTTTAATGCAGCAGAGACTCTTGAAACCTTAGATTCCGAATACTCACCCAGCCCAGAGGCCAGCTTTTCGAAAGTGAGCAGCCATAACTGTGTTGCCTCTTTCCTTTACAGTAGTCTACTAATTACCCCAAATAAAATGGGCTCATATTTTATGACAGAGGCATATTTATTTTCAGGAAGAATCTCACAGGCTGCCCGTGAACTCACTGTGTAGCACAGACTAGCTAGTTCTCCATTTCAGACTGATACTCCTGCCCCGAGTCCTAGCTGTGGTCTCGTCTTGTTTTAGATCTGTTTTAAATAGTTTGGTAGGAGAAGAAACTATGTACACTCTCTAGTAGTGGTTTGAGAAGCAAAATCAGACATATAAAAGAACCTTCTATTTTATACTTCTGCTTGTGGGTGTTTCTTTATTGTTTATTTTACTTGTTGTTGTTGTTATTATTATTATTATTATTATTATTGATTTTCTGGAACTCTGTATAGTCCTGACTGTCCCAGAACTTACTCTGTAGCCCAGGCTAGCCTCTGCCTCCTGAGTGCTAGAATTAAAGGCATGCACACCACTATCCCGCTTATAGTTCTGTTTTTTTATACTAGCTATCGGTTTTTATAAGTGGGCAGGGTCTTCATAATTAATTAACTGATCAGTTAAGATTGTTGGATGGGTGATTGCAAAGATGAAACCCCAGTTGCTTTGTCTTCCTGCCTTTGCACTAGAGGCCTGATGAGAGACACTGTGTGCTCTGGGTTAAGTGTTTGATCTTGGAGGGAGATGCTGAAATGATATGTTGCCCCATGTGGCTGATTCTGACACCTCCCTCTGGTAAATGTTAGTGCTCTGGGATTTTGTTTCTCATTTAATGCTGTGGTTTGGCCCCAGTCTCACCTCAGCTACCGAGGACAGTGAGAGGCCCGTGTAGTCTGACCTTCAGAACTGCTGGACTTGCCTGTGATGCCAGTGGCCACCAGCCACAGTAAACTCAGTCCCTTTATTAATAATATATTATGAAGTGAAGTCATTATAATCCCTGCCTAAAGGTACACTCATTTCTTGTCTATTTGATGTTAGGTTTCAGTTATTTACTGACATGGAAGAATGAATTACTTAAAATTACGTGATAGCAAAGAAAAAACAAATCATTAAAGCTTTCATTTTAAAAATACTAGTTTGGCGAAATACAAAGTGTATTTGTTAGCAAGATCAGAGTTGTGCTCAGGGCCTGTGGGGTAGCTCCAGAAGTGACGCTGTGACGCAGTAAGAAGCCTGATGTCCTGAGTGACCCCTGGAACCCGTGTCGAGGGAGAATGAGAGAGTTTACTCCACCTTGTCCTGACCCCCATGTGAACACTGTGGCACACATGCCATATCCGTGTCTCACACTCAATAGAAATAAAGAATTATGTTAAAGTAGCCATTTGGGAGCGGGTCCCCCCTCTTGATTCTTGACTGATTATACATTGTATCAACTTAGTCGGGTTGATAAGAATGCCCCATGCATCTGCTCTTTGCCGCTCACCCCCTCCCTGCATCTGAAATCTGTATCTTTTGGTCAGTATTCCAGCATGTTACAGTGAGTGCAAACACGTGACAAGCCTGGTCCGCACAAGCCATGTGTTGTAATCAGTTAACACGTGAGTTTGGTAGGCAGGGCTCTTTCTCTGGCACAGGTGGCTGAATTTCTCTCTCTCTCTTTTTGTTTCTTTCAGTGATGAAGAACTCTCTCAGTATCTTTTACAGTTGGTGCAAGTTTTGAAATATGAGCCTTTTCTTGATTGTGCCCTGTCTAGATTCTTATTAGAAAGAGCACTTAATAACCGGAGGATTGGGCAGTTTCTGTTTTGGCATCTTAGGTAAGTCTTTCATGTTTCAGCCTGAGACCTCCGTGTGCTTCAATACCTAATTCAGTGTGATGTCAGACATTCAATGGGACCGTGAGAGGTTTTGTGGGTTACAGTCCATCAATAACATGTACACTGTTTTGGTGTCTTCTTTTCTCAAGCCCAAACTACACCTTTGTCATTTGACACAATAATCTTCTCTGAATTTTTAACTAAAATTAGCAACTGATATATTGTAATATTTTCTAGCAAACTAATTTTCTTTTTTAAATATTTAATACACTTGCATATGTGTTTTGATCAAATCCACGCCTATTTCCTCCCTTCCAATTCCTCCTCTGTCTCCCAATCACTTTTCCCTTCCAACTTCATGTACTCTCATTTAAAAATAAGCTCATTGTCTTAATATATGTTAGCTATGTGCTGATATATATATTCCTCTAAGAAGCTTGTGCATAATGTGTGGGTGCTTTGCCTGCACGTATAGACATACTTGTATGCCTGGTCCTTGCAGTGGCCATAAGAGGGCATTGGATACCCTAGAGCTGGAGTTAATAGACAGTTGTGAGCTTCCGTGTGAGTTCCGGGAATGTAACCCGGGTCCTCTGGAAGAGCAGCCAGTGCTCTTCACCCCTGAGCCCTTCCTCTAGCTCCAGTTTGTGGATTCTATTGTAATCACTACTATTACTGAAACAAGTCAAGGTGCCACCACTGCCCAGCTTTTCACCATTCTTTAAGTGAGAAAATAGAACCAGGGCCAGAAGATGTACACTCAGCAGCAGGAAGCGAGGAGAAAACTGGATAATGGCTAATTGAGATACTGGTTTTACTGACCCCAGTCAAATGGACTTCTTTTTCTGTCTCATGTTTTTCTACATTCCTAAGTTAACATTTCTTTTCCCCTTCATAAGGCAAATCAAATAAAATGTGGAAATGCTGGTTTTCTTCAGTTTAAGAATTAACTACTAAACTACTAAACACTTATAACTTCTGAGTTCTACTACTACTTAACAGATTGGGCTATTAGCACCTTACTAGTAGGGTTGGGAGAACAGCTCCCGGCCTGGCTGGAATCAGTATTTCACAGTAGAATAAAGAAGGCAGTGATCTTTCCATGGTCTGAAGTGTTTGACAAACAAACCAATTGAATATTGGCTTTCTGCAGGTCAGAAGTGCATATTCCCGCCGTGTCCGTACAGTTTGGTGTCATCCTAGAAGCATACTGTCGAGGAAGTGTAGGGCACATGAAAGTGCTTTCCAAGCAGGTATGGGCATTTCTATCATTTCAGTTTAACACACAGCCATCAGTTTGTCAAATTCGATTTCATTGCCCTGTCCGTCCCTTAACCTGATCAATACATTGTGGGAAAGAATTGAGTCTCATGAAGCCCAGGCTGGCCTCGAGCTCACTATCTAGTGAGGAAGGTCATGGTCAGGAGATCCACTGCACAGCCTTTTGAGTGCTGGGATCCATGGCACATGGTTCTGTGTCTAATTTATGCTCTGCTGGAGATCAGACTCAAGGCTTTGTACTTGATAGTCTACCACTGAGCTACTTCCCAGCCTTTAGCATGTGCTTTTAGAAAAATCTGTCATATAGGAAGTGTCAGCAAGCTTAAAATTAAATATATATGAAATGGGACACAGCCAGGATTTCTCATATTTTCTACATTAATAGGATGCCTTGAATTTTAATGGTCTGTTCATGTTTCATGATGGATATGAGGGAGGCTGTCTTTTTTTGTTTTTTGTGTTTTTGTTTTTACGAGACAGGGTTTTTCTGTATTGTATTGGAGGCTGTCAGTCCAGCCTGGCCTCGAACTCACAGAGATACGCCTGCCTCTGCCTCCCAAGTGCTGGGATTAAAGGCGTGCGTCACCACCGCCCAGCCATGTCTTTTTTTTTTTTTTTACTTATTTTTATTTAATGTGTATTGGTGTTTTGCCATGGGTGTCCAGTTCCCTAGAATTAGAATTACAGACAGTTGTGAGCTGCCATATGGGTGTTGGGAATAGAACCTGGGTACCCTGGAAGAGCAGTCAGTGCTCTTAACCTCTGAGCCATTTTTCCAGCCAGAGGGAGACAGTCTTTTGATCTTTTGACTCTGGTTTTTCATGTCCCTCAGTTACTCTTTTTAGTAAATATATTTATGCTTTAGAAGATTTTGCTCAAGTATAGTATTTGTGATACATGTAAATCATCATGTCTTTTAAATTGAAATTATTGAGGTATAAGCTCACAGGTATTTTGGTTTCTGTAATTCATAATCCTCCTTATCTTTTTGAGCTATATGTTCATGCTTAAAACTATGATATGTTCTTGCAGTCCAGAGGTATTGCTGATATTGCTGTAAGTTAATTTCCCTATGCCAAGAGTCATACTGTTTATACTTTTTAAAAATATGCTGCTTTATTATGCTCCTGATAGTTCACCAGTATGTGTGTAAAACCCAGGCTGCCTCAATCCCCTCCCCCAAATGCTGAGATTACAAGAATGTGCCACCATTCCTAGCTCTTTTGCCTTGCTAGAGAAACTTCCATAGGCTTTTGCAAAGGTCACTGGGTGTGTTAATAATCGCTAACATTTATTCACAACATTTAATCCTTGGCAATTCAGAACCCAGTATTCATGATGACCATCCTTGTTTGAACATCTTTTCACCCTTACTCCATTCACCCTCTACATTGGGCCCTTAATTCCCCCCACCCCTTTTTACCTCTCTTCCCCTGCACAGCCTCATCTTCCTCTTTAAATCTGTACGAGAATATCAACCTCCTCTAACCCCCTCTGTCCTGATCCCAAGTCCTCTTGTGTCATAGGCATGCCCTCTACTGCTAAGCTACAGTCTCATACTCCTTTTTCCTTTATATTTGTGTGTGTGGGGGGGGGTGCGTGCATGGTCGCACAGGTAAGGATGCTCACAGAGGCTGGAAGATGGCATCAGATACTCTAGAGCTGTGCAGTGTGATTTGGGGGAACTAAGCACAATTAAACATCAAGCCCACCCCCATTTTCCTATTTCTTTTTTAAGTGTATTTTGAGACAGTCTCACTGAGGTACCCAGGCTGGCCTCCTGAGTAAAAGGGATTACAGGCCTGTGCCACCAGGCCCAGCCATAACTGTTTTTCTTGACTGATGAATTATAAGAGAAAGACTTTGTACCCTTTCCAAGATGGGTGGGGGTGTGGGCTTGCTACATGGCATGTGGAAGTCAGGATGGCTTGTTGAAGTTGTTCTCTCCTTTCAGTTAGTCCTGGGAATTGAACTCAGATCTTCAGGCTTGGCAGTACGAACTCTTACATGCTAAGCTATTTTGCCAGCCCACTGTGGTATTCTTGTTATCACTATAAAGTTGTAAAATCACAATTGTTGAAATACTTAAAAGTATTTTTTGGCTTACAGCCTTTTAGGATACTATTCCAGAAATTGAATATCAGCACAATTATCAATGGGGCATAACAATTACCAATTGTGCAACATGAAAGAAATTCTAATTTGAAAGAGTTCAAAAAGTTCTCTTTTCATAGACCAGTTTTCATCTGGTTTCCTTGTTGCCAGTGTTGGAACAACTCCTGAAAACATTGAAAAGTGTAGTGTCTGTGGTTTTGACAGATGGCTAACTTGGCAAGCACCAGCCATCTTGATTTATCTTCAAGCTACATAGAACATGTTAATTTTCTCTATGAGCAAGGCCTCAGCTTATCTTTGAAAAACTGCTTTCTCATTTCCTACATGTAGGAAACTACATCCACATCCATACATAGTCTTCATGTTTCTTGCGTGGAAACAAAGTTCAAAGTTTTAAAATGAAAACATGATACAAAATGACTTTCCTGATAATGTGATTTCAAACCAGTGTGTATTATATTTGCCTCATATTTTATGTTTTTCTTTATATATGTTTGTTACTGTTTGTTGTTTCTAGTTTTAATGACATGTAAATGTTCCTTCTGTTTTATGATCGACTATGGTTATTGTGTTCTCATGAACTTGCTAGAAACTTGCTATGTAAACCAGACTAGTGTCACACTTGTGGCTGTTCTCCTGCCTCTGCTTCCCAAGTGCTGGGATCATAGGTGTTCACGGCCAGAACTAGCTGAAGTGGGTGTTTATTTGTTTCCTTGTTTGATTGATTGAAACGTGGTCTCACTGTATCCCTGGCTGACCTGAAACTCACTATGTAGATTAGGCTAACCTTGAACTCACAGAGATCCCTCTGCCTTAACCATACCCCACCAGCCCCACCATATACACAGTAATTAAAGGCATGCACTGCCATGCTTGGCTAAAGTGGCTTTTACGAATAATGGTTTTGATCTAGTTGGCCTTTGCTGTACTACAAGTACAGGGTGTTTGTTTGTTTGACTTAAGTTTTGATAGCCAAAGTTATCCCAGATTCTAGGACTAGACAGATGACTCAGTTGTTCTTATAGAGGACCCAGGTTCAGCTCCCAGCACCCATGTCAGTGGCTCAGAACCACCTGTAATTTCAGTTCCAGGGAATCTGGCAGCACCCCCTTCTGGCTTCACTACCATACACATGGTACATATCCATATACTCAGCACATGCACATATGCACACTTAATAAGAATAAAACAAGGGCTGGAGAGAAGGCTCAGTGTTTAAGAACATAGCTGGTCTTCCAGGGGTCCTGAGTTCAATTCCCAGCAACCACATGATCGTTCACAGCCATCTGCAGTGAGATCTGGTGCCCTCTTCTGGACTGCAAGCACACATGCAGACAGAGCACTATATACATAATATAATATAAATAAATAAATAAACCTTTTTAAAAAAGAGAATAAAAAATCTTAAAAATAAAAGCAATTTGGTGAGTGGGCACAGAGCTTCTCTGTGTAGCCCTGACTGCAGACCATGCTAATCTCGAACTCAGATATCAGGCTGTCTCTGCCTCCACCTCAACCCCCAAGTGCTGGGATTAAAAGTGTACACCGCTGCACCAAGCTTAAAGGCAAGCAGTTTTGTCTTGGATAACAAATACCTTGCATCATAATCTGCTCTTGTGGTCTTGGCAGTGAAAAGAAACAGGCTGAGATTCCAGACACGTGATGATAGGTATTGCCAGGCACAGTAGCACATATCCATAATTCCAGCCCTAAAGAGGCTGAGCAGCCTGGGCTACATAAAAGGCTATGTTTAAAACAAAAAAGACACGGACATGGAAGTAGGCATAAGGTTTCAATACTGGGAACAGCAGGTTACTTCTGTACAGATTCCCCATGCTGTGGTGTAGTCCAGATGGAGGATGTGTTTTGGATTTCATTACTCAGTGAACTGTAGAGTTGAAAACACTTTCACACCTGTCTGCAAATACCCAGTCTATGCCTGCCTGGTTACTGTTCTCAAATTTTAAGATACCATTTAATAAAGGGCTTAAAAGTGATACCTTGATTGTTATTTGGTAGTAATATAATGTGTGTAAAAACCTTATATGCAGGGTTTTTACTTTATCTGATTGTGCATGTGTGTTTGGTTAGAGCTACTGATAAATGTGACTGTATGATATATTATTTTTAATACATTATTTTTCAGGTTGAAGCACTCAATAAGTTAAAAACTTTAAATAGCTTAATCAAATTGAATGCAATGAAACTTAACAGAGCGAAAGGAAAGGAGGCCATGCACACGTGCTTAAAACAGAATGCTTACCGGGAGGCCCTTTCTGACCTGCAGTCACCGCTGAACCCATGTGTCATCCTCTCAGAGCTCTAGTAAGTGACTGTCTCTGCTCCACAGTGAGCAGCCTGTGCACATAGCAATGCAGAAAAGCTGTCGGAGTCACTGTGCTGGGGAACTGGCGGGGCTGCCTGGTAGCCCAGGGAGGTCAAGTATAACCAAGGAAGGGAAGCATGAAGTCTTCAAAGGCTGTGTTTGTATTCACGAGGCTGTAGAGCTAGATTTATCTGTGAGATTAGTAATATTGTAAATTAATTTCTTTCAATTATATATAATTTTAGTTGTATATCAGAACATACATAAGGTAGCTTTTTAAAAAATATTATTTTACTATGGGGCGGGGCAGGGGGGCTTGTGCACAGGAATGCAGTGTTCACAGTGGCCAGAGGCATGGATCGGATGCCCTGGAGCTTGATTTACAGGCTGTCATAAGCTGCTGTTGCAAGCTACCTAACTTGGGTGCTAGGAACTGAACTCTGGTCCTCTCCAAGAGCAGTATATGCTCTTAACCACTGAGCCATCTTTCCAGCTCTGTTAGTTTTGAAACAGGACCTTATATAACCCAGGCTAGCTTCAAACTCTTTATGAGCCCAGGCTGGCTTTGAACACATAATCCTCCTGCCTGCTGAGTGCAGGTAACACAGGCATGTGCCCCCATTCCTGGCTATAGTACCAGTTCTTAAGAATTGAAAATCCTGTATGAGCAAAATGTTGGAAACCATGACACATTATCTCCTGATCTCCTATTTTAAGCTGAGGTTTAAATTAATCTCTAAACTATTTGCCATCTTTTCATTCACACAGAAGTGGAAAATATACTTTGTGTCAACAACAGTACTAGAATCGATCCCTCATTGTGATATCAGGGCTTGAGATGTACCCAGAAAAGGTTCTCATTCTGATATGACTTCTGTAGACTCTGAAAGAATTATAGGTGGCAATTGTGAGCCCCATACCTCAGGGCTCCTTTGCAATCTTGTACATTCTTACGCTGAAGTGTTTGATTCCCCCTTTGCTGATTTCAGTGTTGAAAAGTGCAAATACATGGACTCTAAGATGAAGCCCTTGTGGTTGGTCTATAACAACAGAGCTTTTGGAGAGGACTCAGTTGGAGTGATCTTTAAAAACGGTGACGGTGAGTCCTGGGAAGGTGTGTGTGTCAGTGTGATAGCAGCCAAAAGGCCAGTGCCAGTGCTCACGAGGTCAGCACAGCATCCCCTGGGATCCCCTCCTTTCTGCCGAGAAATCACTTCTATAGTTTAATCGGTTACCTCATAAGCCTTCCTATGTTTCCCTATAAAATACAAATAATAAATCTTTTGATGAAAAGCTTGTAAAAAGTGAGGATATCTCAGTATATATTCGTGCATCCTGTTCCAGTGATAGCAACTTTGAAGTCATTGCCAGAGTTTTATGTTTGGATTGAGCTCATGACCCAGACTTTATAAGGAAATGCCTCTGAAGTAATTGCACCAGCCCAAGGCAGCCATGACTTGTAAGCCATATGACCACAAGCCCTGTAATTGATAAGCTTTAGGGTTTTCATCTCATGAAGCTATAACATCCCTGTACCAGAGTCCTTAAAGGATTCGCAAGAAATAACTTATTTATACATGCTTGCAACTTCTTAATAGAACTTACTCAGAGTGGTTCATGTGCCTTGAGATAGTGTCTCACTCTGTACAAAGACTGACCTCAAACCTGTGATCCTCAGCCTTTCCAGTGTTGGGATTACATGAATCAGCATATCCCACCCTCATGATGTATTGCTAAATATTTTACTCCACTAGACTATACAAGTAGTATAACTTGTTATTACACATTATTTTGTTCAGAAGTACTCTTTGGGAAACCAGGAGAAGAAGAAAGACAATTTTATGTAACCAGGTTGGCCTTGAACTCATTGTGTAGCTTGAACTCTGATGTTCCCTACCTTCCCCACCTCCAAGTACTGGGATTACAGTTGTGTGTTGTCATGTCAGGCTGACATAACTTATATTATTTTGGCCCAAGATCTCACTATGTAGCCGAGGCTGACTTCAAATTTTCGATCTCATGAATGTTGAGACTAGAAGCACTCATGAACATGATAAATAAATTCAACTGTTACAGTTTTCTGGACTCCTAATGTACTGACTTACTTGTATGATTCCTAAGAATTTTCTGTGAAACCTTAAAGGCAGGAGAAGTTAACAATGCTATGATCTATGCAGAAATATACTTTCATGGTATTTTCACACATGGGAAACAGTTGAAAACTTGATTCCTAAACCATACGGGGAAATTCTGATCACCTAGCCTGTATGTTGCAATGAGTATAGGCAAGATTAAAATTGTGGGGAAAGTACAGTGCTTGGCAATGTGTTTAGTGACTCTGACTGAATGCCTAAGGTTGAGCTAGCAAGTGGGGTGGGGGGAGTGGTCACAAGAAGGCAAGTGCATGTAACTGAGCGGGCATTTCCCGTAGATTTGCGGCAGGACATGCTGACGCTGCAGATGCTACGCCTGATGGATCTGCTCTGGAAAGAGGCGGGTTTGGACCTTCGGTGAGTGCTCCAGTACATTTGCTTATTTCGTGTGTTTTCCTCCTGTTGAGCCCTTCCCTTCCCTTTTAATTATGTTTGTAATAATAGTTAGTACAGCCTTTTACAATGTGCTTTCTAACCGTTACCCTATTTGAATATCATCATACTCCACTACATGTGCTTGAGATTCCAGAAAAGGGTAGATTTGGACTTTAATAACCTGAACAGGCATCCAGAGTCAGGTTCCAGGTTCCAGTTTCAAGGTTGGTGGCTTTCGTTTAGAGAGCGGGTCCCTTATATGGCTCAGGGTGGTATTGAACTTGCTCTACAGGCTAGAGAGACTTGAATTCATTATCCTGCCTCAGTGTCCAAAGTGCTGGGATTCCAGCCATGTGTCTTTGCACCCTGTTGAACTCTTTTATAGAAAGATTTATAATTGTTGCTATGCATTGACTGGCAAAGGCACTTTGTTAGCTTCATGTAGATTATTTCTACCTCACAGCTCCATAAGGTTGAGTTACTCTTTTTTAACATGTGAGAAAAATCAACACAGTAGTAATTTAAAACAAACAAACAAATAAATAAATAAAAGTATATTAAATAGTGCCCATTTTAGATACAGGATTGTCAAGTCTCTACATTGATGTCTTTCTGTTATTTTACTGTCCTATCAAGTGAGAAAGCAGCGTGGAAATATGTCTTTGTTTGCCAAAATATGATGGTATTCAAAAAGCCTAATTGCCAGCTTTGTGTTCTCTTTTGGTAAGCATTTGTGTCTATGCACACGTGCGCATATATGCACCATGGGGACACCTGAGGAGGTCGGGGATAGCATTTGAGAGTTGAGCTTCTTTCTTCTGTGGATCCTGGGAGTCAAACCTCAGGTTTCGCAGCAATCCACTGAAAGTATCTCATCTGCCATCTTGTTTGTATTTTAAAGGCAGAATCTTTGTTTCTAGATCCTTCTAGAATATACTTTTCTGGTTCTGTTAAGTTAAAACAATCTAGTGTGATTTTTTTTCTTTTCATGGGCTTACGATTATAATAAGACAGAGCTGTGATTATAATAAGACAGATCTGTGTTTTTTCTTTTTCATTGAAAATAATTTTCCCCTCACATAATTAAAGTTTCTCCTGCCTCTACTCCTCTTAGTTCCTCCTTACCTCACTGTCCATCCAGACCTACCCCCTTTTTATCTATCATTAGAAAACAAGCAGGTTTCTAAGGAATACTAGTAAAATAAAATATAGTAACATAAAACAAACATGTCAGAATTGGACAAAACAAACAAACAGAAGGAAAAGATCTACAAAAGAAGGCACAAGAAATAGACCCACTTGTTCTCACACTCAGGAATAACGTGAAAACACTAAACTAGAAGCCATAAACACACACAAAGGACATATAGGGCAAAAAGACAAAAAATAAAAAGTATTTAAAAGTAAGACAAAATTAAAACCGGGCAGTGGAGGCACCTACCTTTAACTTGTGAATTTCTGATTACTTAAAAACACTGTTGTGTGTAAATGATAGCTTTTTCCCCTTAACCACTCAGAAGGAATACATCACAGATAGAGGCTGAGTGTGTGGCTTTTGTTGTTGTTGTTGTGACCACATTCCTACCAAGAAGCAGCCTAGGGGCCAGTGAGATAGTTCAGTGGGTAAAAGCTTTCCGCACAAGCTCAGCTGCTGAGTTCAGTGCCCAAATGCCACGATGGAAGGAGAGACACAGAAACACACATCACATCAGAGTATATTGACATGGAGCAGCTCCAGGGAAGGAAGGTTTGGGGTTCATAGTTCAGAGGATGTCCCACCATTGTGGAGAGAACTCACTGGGGCAAGACCAGCTTCCGGACTTGGAAGGCAGAGGCTGCTTATTCATGTCTTTGTCTTTGCAGGTGAGAACTCAGAGAACAAAGGAGTGGCAGGTTCTGTTCTCTCTCTCTCTCTCTCTCTCTCTCTCTCTCTCTCTCTCTCTCTCTCTCTCTCTCTCTCTCTCTCTCTCTCCCCCTCTCCCCCTCCCTCCCTCCCTCCCGCCCCCCTGGACCACAGTGGGTGGGATGCTGCTGCCCACATGCAGGGCACATCCTCCCTCCCTATCAGACAGTCTTCTCTGGCAACACCCCCACCCCCAGACACCAACGTGTGCCTCACTGAAGCTGTAGCTATTTATTTCTTCATTCAGACCAGTCAACAGTCATTATTAAAACTGCAGTAAATGAGCCTCTGCTTGTGAACTGCCACATAGGCTACCTAACCTGGTAAATAAAATCTTAATGACACACAGTCCTTTCCTTACATAGCTGTCTGTAGCTGCTTATATATCCCAACAGCAGAGTAACCCTGCAGTGCTTAAAAGTCTCTAGTCCATCCTAAAAGTTTACTGACTTCTCCCATATTAAAAGAAACTACAGGAAAATGATTTTATTGCTTGGATCCATGACCAAGGCCATTTGTAGAAGAAAGCATTTAATTGGGCATTCGGTTTCAGAGGGTTTGAGTTAGTGATTGTGGCACTAAGGCATAGCCATAATGGTTGAAAGCTCTCACCTGGAACAGCAAACAGGAAGCAGAGAGAACATACTAACTGGGAATGGCAGGAGTCTTTTGAAACCTCAAAGCCCGCCCCCAGTGACACACCTCCTATTCCTTCCCAAACAGTTCTCCAAATGGGGACCAAGTATTCAAGCGTGAGCCTATGGGGTCCACTCTCATTCAAACCACAGAGATCCTATAGCAAAAGAAACTCCAAACTCTGACTTGGTGACTCCTTTGTTCTTCCTGTCGTTATCAGAGACTATGGGCCTTTCTGAGTTACAAAACCTGAGCTGAAGACTAGCTGCTTAAGTCTTAGTCCCATCAGCCTAGTTGAAAACTCCAAGCCAGTTTTGTCGTCTGTGCTTTGGTTTTGTCCATTCCATCCAAAGGTAGCTTGCATTTAGCGTCACGATTGTCATTGTAACCTCAGATAAAGGGAGGCATCCATGTGTGGGAGAGCTGCATGTGTGCTCAGTTCCTGTGCAGTAGGATGTTAGTGGCATTTTGTCCTCTGACCCCATTCTTTTAAAGTGTAGAGCTTTGAGTTCTTTCAAACTCCTCTCTCTCACCAAAGCTTCTCTACTGTTTCTATAAATATCTGTGCTCTCGTGCCTGGTGTGTTTGTTTTTCTTTTGAGCAGCTGTTCAGGTTAAACTGGGTCGTGCAGCATGCACTCTTGGATCTCAAATTTTTGAGTACCTCCTATATGTTACTATTCTAGTAACAATGCCGTGCTTCCTTTAACGAAAATACTTAGGCTCATTTAAATTTTCTCGGATGGCTCATGATACTCTGGTATCCTTCATGTCAAAAGCAGAACATCTGTAAGGCATAAATAAGGTGAAACACCATATCTTTTGCTTAACAATTAGTAGTCAGTTAGCTTTTCCTGTCAACTGAAAAGTTGTCAACCTCAAATCCGTGTGACTTTCAGTAGACTCGACAGTCCTCTGTATCACTTGTTCCTGTGCTACAGGTCAAATAAAAAAAATTTAGTAGTTTCTTTATTTACTTATACATAATACATCTAAGTTTTACTGAAGGAATTTTTTTTTTTTGCAGTAGGCAAGGGGGACAGGAACTCTCCATTATGTAACTGTGGCTGTCCTAGAAGTTGCTCTGTAGACCAGGCTGGCCTCAAACTCACAGTCGTCCACCTGCCTCTGCCTCAGGAGTGCTGGGATTGAAGGTGTGCAGCACCTGACTCTACTGACAGTTTTCTCACTTACAAGAGACTCTACAAGTTACATGTAAGATATTCAATGCCGTTGGTATTGGCAGGGCCTGGGTGGAGGAAGCATGTGTGAGCAGTGCAGATGCTAGGTAAGGAGGGTGTGCGCTGTGACACTCGCCAGTGGACTGAGTGTGTGCTGTGACATTCGCCAGTGGACTGAGTGTGCGCTGTGACACTCGCCAGTGGACTGAGTGTGTGCTGTGACATTCGCCAGTGGACTGAGTGTGTGCTGTGACATTCGCCAGTGGACTGAGGTGCTGCCCTGGCCTGAGCAGTGCGGTAAAGCAGGGATAAAGGACTGCTTCCTTCCTCTCTCCAGTGCAGTTTGTCTCATTCTAAAATCCTGTTTTCCCATGAAGGTAACATTGTTCTCAGGTCAGAGAGTGCGAGAAAGGAAGGTGAACCTTAGAAGGGTTGTCATGTCCCTTATAAAGCCGGTAGGCATTCAGGGCAGGGGAGGCCTCCACGCGATGATTAGGGAGGGTTCCAAAAGTTTGCCCCCAGCATGACTCCTGTCAAAGTGTCTTTCAGATGAGGATGTTTTTTCCTTCCCATTGTGAATGTTCCATCCTTAAGTCACTGATTGCTTTCATCATTGCTTGCTTTTGAAGAGGAAGTTGTTGGACTTGTGCCCAGTTTGGGCTGTAAGTGGGATGTAAGGGGGTACAGGAAAGCAAGAGAGTGCACTTTAACCCAAAAGTGTTTGCTTTGCATGGGTTGTGTCACAATGGGCTGCCAGGCCCTAGTAAGATATTTGATGCTCCTTAGTTCTCTTCTTAAGAAAGAGAAGTAAATTAATAATAAAGGTTTAGTCTGCCAGAATGTAATTCGGCAATGCTACTCTCATTCAAAGGAATATACAATAACTGAATTGCTTTTTGGAAGTAATTTTAGAAACTAGCACAGCTCTGGCCTTTTATCTGATTGGTATACATCCACATGCACTGTTTTCTCTTGTCTCTCTAATCCTCACGTGACCTGTAGGACCCCAGGCCATCTTTCCAACATGTCAGATCTTTCCCTCACTTTGCTTTGTGTTCTGCGTAGCCTTGTCCTGAAGCCTTCTCATCCTCCCTCTTCCAGAGATCTGTTTAAGTATAGGACTTGTTTAAGTTCCTCAGGTTGGCCTTGATTTTCCTGTGTAGCTCAGACAAGTCATCAACTCTCTGGAAAGGGAATGCAGGAGGAGCATGTACAGAGCCAGGGGGAAATCAAGTGTCCAGCTCTGTCACTCTCTACCTTGTTCCTTTGAAAGAGAATCTCACTGAACCTGGAACTAGGTTGTTGGCCAGCAAGCCCCATCAGCTCCCCCAGCCTTGTCTCCCCACCATACCCAGCTGTTTATGTAGGCGTTAAGAGTTCTGAACTGAGGACCTCATGATTGCATAGCAAGCATTTTCACCCACTGAGCCATCTCTTTATCTTATAGAGATCTTTCTAAATGTTTTAAAATATTTAATTAAATGTATTTGGGTCTGTGCATGTGAGTGTAGGTGCTGTCAGAGGCCAGTAGAGGGCATCAGATCTTCCAGGAACTGGCATTACAGGTTGTTGTGAACTGTCTGATGTGGGTGCTGGGAGCTGAACTTGCATCCTCCGTAAGAGTAGCAGGTGCTTCTAACAGCTGAGCCATCATCTCCCCTGCCCCATCCGAAGAGGTGTTTCTGGGCTCCTGCCAGGGCATCCCCTCATAGCAACCACACTCACATTGTTCCTTGTGCTTCAGAAGCTTAGTGAGAATAGGGACTGCTTATTTCTGAATCATGTCTGACATCTGGTAGAACGTGTGCCGCATAGCTGCACCCAACCATTTACTGAACCCATACATTCTGTCCTTTGGTTGGTTGGTGAACCCATACATTCTGTCCTTTGGTTGGTTGGTTGGTTGGTTGGTTGGTTGGTTGGTTGGTTGGTTGGTTGGGCAGGCGGGCTAGGGTGTCATATAGAACTTTTGCCAGAGGAAGTAGGTCTTGCTCCCAGGGAAAACAGGAAGCCCAGCTAAGAAACTGTTGGGAATTCTGAGGTGAAGGTTGGTAGTGACTTGGACTGGGGTGTTTGCAGGTAGGGATGCAGAATTACTAAGATTCCTCTGCTTCCTTCCCACACTCCTCCCTTCTATGACCCCTCTGCCTTCCTCCTCTCGTTCCTTCTCCCTCACTTCATATCCCAGGATGACTTTGAACTTCCAAACCTGCCTCAGCCTAAAGTTGTAGAATTAACATTCCTGGATCTGAATCAGTTTAAGTCTGGTAAACTAAATGTTGGCTATGAGGAGAGTGAAGGATGACTGTAAGGTGAATACTTGGAGAGTGAAGCTGCCTTAACAAAGATGCCGTTACATCATAAAAAATGATCCTGGTTCCGTAGATTTAGAGTAAAAGGGTATAACTCCTTGTGTATCTAATGTGCTTCTGTCCATCAGTGCAGCAAATCTAACATTTCACAAGTGTAGTTATATAGGAAATGATGCGTTAGTTGGATCACTCCATCTGTTGGCCCATGTTTTCTCTAGCAGAAGGTAGAACTTCTATTTTCCATATGGTGTTACTGAGAAATGACAAGACTATCAATAATAAAAATCTTATAAGTCAAAGGAAAGACTTACAAAATTAATGTTTACTCCCATGGAAAACATGGTCTCTTCTGTCTATTTTTCCCTCCCAGGATGCTTCCCTATGGCTGCTTAGCAACAGGAGATCGCTCTGGCCTCATTGAGGTGGTGAGCACCTCTGAGACAATCGCTGATATTCAGCTGAACAGTAGCAACGTGGCTGCCACAGCAGCCTTCAACAAAGACGCACTCCTGAACTGGCTTAAGGAGTACAATTCTGGGTGAGTGTGTCAGCATCATTTCTTTACACAGACACTCAATCAGACAATAGTGGCCAGACAGAGGAAATGTTTGCATTGTTTATTGCCTCAGTCAAGACGGAATGCCTCGTGGGCCTTATTAAAATCTTGTATACAGTGTTCTGCCTGCATGCATGCTTATGCACCAGAAGAGGGCACCAGATTTCATTACAGATGGTTGTGAGCTACCATGTGGTTGCTGGGAATTGAACTTTAGAAACGCAGACAGTGTTCTTAACCTCTGAGCCATCTCTCTAACCCCCTTATTAAAATCTCAAAACTTCTACTTTATCTCAAAATTTAAAAGCTCTCCAGTATGTTAGAGTGTAAGTATTTTTAAGATAGTGGATTGATGGTGTTGTTTATAACATCAACTTATACGTGACTATATGAACTTAGGTATCTAATAGGTTATTTTTTTTAAAGATTTTTTTGGTTTTTTGGGGGGGGGATTGTGTGTGGAGGCGGGGGTTGGGTGTCTCTAGTCCTAGCTGCCCTTGAGCTCACCATGTTGACTACAGAGATCCTCCTGCCTCTGCCTCTCTAAAGTGCTGGGATCAAGGTGTATGCTCTCACTGCCAGCCTTATTGTGATTTCTAACTAAGTATACATGTGTGTCTGTGTGTAGGTACGTCCCCACAGAGTCCAGAGGAGGGTTTCAGAGGCCCTAGAGCTGGAGTTACAGGTGATTGTGAACCACCTAATGTGGGTGCTGGGACCCAAATTCAGAGCAGCAAATGCTCTTACCCAAGAAACCGTCTTTCCAATCAAATAGGTTAATTTTATGATTGAAGTAAATGAATTTGTATGGTCTGTGATCTCTTTAAGCTAAAAGAATAATCTTTAAAGTTTTGTTCCTGGGCTGGGGATATAGATCAGTTGGTGGGGTACTTTCCTAATATTTGCAGAGAGCCCTGAGTTTGATGCCTAGGAGCACAGTCACTGAGTGCCACATGCCTCATCATTTACGAAATAGAGGCAGAAGACTCAAAATCCAGGGTCATCTGGAGCTAAGTAGCCACAGGGTCCCACTTCAATAACGCTGCAAGAGTAAGAAGTTTATTTATGGGTTAGGTGATGGACAACATCACTATTCTAGGAAATATTTAATGTGAAGAAAAGTGCTTTGCAAGTAATTTTGGCTAAAAACTTAAATTATAATCAGACTTAAATGTTATCATTTACATTGTCCAGGGACTTTCACATGAGAATCAAATCAGTCTCAGTCTTACAGCCTTCCCCACAGGGTCTGTACCCTAGCTTCTGATTGAGGTCACTGACCAGCATGGTGAGAATGGCAGTGCTTGACCTGGATTCTAATGTGAGGCCTCCCTGACTGCAGTGGCTTCCTCCTATGATCCCAGCACTTAGGAGTCTGAGGAGGGAGAGAACTGCCATGGGTTCAAGGTCAGGCAAGCTCCATGATGACTTTTTTGTTCCAGTCTGGCTTATAGGGCTTACTTGTCTTCAAAAAGCTAAAAACCAAAACAAAAGCTGGTAAAAAAAAAATATTCCCAGGCCCCAGGATGATGAAACAAAGCCACGGTGGCCTCTTACAGTACCATTCCTGTAAGCTTAAGCCCGACTGGAACAGGACTTCCAGGACTTAAATGGCTGAATCCCAGGGAGGCGGTGTTAGAAGCAGCCTGACTCCCTGCCTTTCCTTCACCTTCTGCTCATCCAGCTTTGGCCGGGTATGTGACTTGAGTATGTAATCAAGAGCAGCACGGGGTAGGTCTTGTCCCCTTGCAGGAGGTCTCACCCATTGCTTCTGTGTCTGTCCCCAGGGATGACCTGGACCGAGCAATTGAGGAGTTCACTCTGTCCTGTGCTGGCTACTGTGTAGCTTCTTATGTCCTTGGCATTGGTGACAGGCATAGTGACAACATCATGGTGAAAAAAACTGGCCAGGTAAGCTGCACTGCAGAGGCCACGGGCTTAGGTAACGCTGTGTTTTTGTCCTTCATCCTACCGACTCTGCTTCAGATACCATATGCTTTATATGATCATTTATTTAGAATTGGGCAATAAGCTTTTATTTAAACCTTTAGCAATTGCTATTATTTAAAAGGGACCTGTTCTTTCTTTACAAGAATTTGTATTTGGGCCTGGTGTGGTGGCGTGTACCTATAATGAGAGCATTCAGGAGATTGGGGCAGGAGACTTGCTTATTTGAGACCCTGTCTCAAAATAAGTAAGTGAAAAATTGAAGAAAATAACTGGTTGGTGACGTGTGAGGTGGCAGTGCTGTTAAGAGCTCTGGCTGCTCTTCCAGAGGACCCAGGTTTGGTTCCCAGCACCCACATGGTGACTCACAACTGTCTGTAACTCCAGTTTCAGGAGATCTGACACCTTCTGGTTCTGTAGGCACCAGGCATACTTGTGGTACATGTACATAGATGTAGGCAAAGCACTCAATATAAATAAAATAAAATCTTTTTAAAAAGCTATAAAAAAAGAATAAAACCAAGATGAACCATCCTGGGTCATTTTTCTTTCTCTTTTTTAATTTAGTTTGTGTATGGGTGCTTTGCCTGCCATGTGTTTGTGTGCCATGTGCATGTCTCGTTCCTGTGGAAGTGAGCAGAAGGCGCTAGCTTCCCTAAGACTGGAGTTACACAGAGTGTGCGCCTCCATGTGGGTGCTGGAGTCCGAACCCGGGCACTTCCCTCTGCAAGCGCAGCCAGCGCTCCTATCACTGAGCCATCTCTACAGTCCTGATATTGTTTTGTTTTTTTAACTTTTAGAACATCAAACTTTATTGTTGTAGGGGTTGGGAGAAATGCAGGTGGTATCTTTCTAAGATAGCCAGGGAAGCCAGATGAGGTGTTCTAATTTCAAACAAACTGTTTTCCTCAATTATTTATAAACTAGGTATTATTTGTAAAGGTTTTTGTATCGTGCACAGGCATAGCAAGTAAGATGGCTCAGTGACCCGTGTGCCACTGCACATCTATGGAGGTGGAGTCAGCTCCCTTCCCACATGTGGGTCCTGGGACTGTGGCCAGTGCCTTTTGGATCTCCTCAATAGCTGTGCTAGAAACTTCCTGAGACCATAAAAAGTCAGCCTTTGTAACTTGGGGGATAGATGGTTCTAACCTTGAACAGTAAGCATGCAATCAAGTATAAGATGGGATAGACTCTTTAAATTACATTTATTTTTATATCTGTGTTCATTTGTGGGGAATCAAGCTCAGGTCATCAGGCTTAGTAACAAGTTCCTACACCCACTGAGCCGTCTCACCAGCCTTAGAATAGAATCTTTTTTTTTAAGACGGGGTCTTACTATGCAGCCTTGGTTGTCCTGGAACTCATAATGTATAGGCTAAATTGATCTCAGATGCACAGATATCATCTGCCTCCCTCCCATGTGCTACCACATCTGGCCCAGAGATAGGCATTTTCAGACATAGAAGGTCTCAAGAGCTGGACCGCATCAGCACTGTTTCTGTGTTTTGTTTTTCAAGTGAGCTCTCACTAGGCTGGCTCCAACTTCTCAGTCCTCCCCCCATGGCCTTCTGAGCATGTTTTGCTTTCTTTGCATCTTTTCTCGGGAGGCTGCCAGGAAAAGGATAATCAACCACCAAAACCAGTCTACACCAGAAAATGCTTGTCATTTGCTGTGATAGTTCCAGCTTTTTTAAGTAGGGATGAGTTGGTGGGGGCACTAAACATATAGTTGGTAGAGACCAGAGATGCTAAGCACCCCATGTGGCGTACATTGGGTCCTGTGTTGGTGTGATCAGGGATCTAGCTCAGGTAGGGTGATCTATTAAATTGAGGCTTAACACTACAGAAGTCATACCAAACAGAAATATCAGAGACTCACTCCCATTTGTTTTACAGCTCTTCCACATAGATTTTGGACATATTCTTGGGAATTTCAAATCTAAATTCGGCATTAAAAGAGAGCGAGTACCTTTTATTCTTACTTATGACTTCATTCATGTGATTCAACAAGGAAAAACAGGAAATACAGAAAAGTTTGGCAGGTGAGTATCACCCTTGTGTCACCAGCTGCCACATTTCCTAACTCTTCCTTACTTTCCGGTTGGCATGATAAAATGCCCCAACAAGAGCAACCTGAAGGAGAAAGGACTTATTTTGGCTCATGGTTTGGGGTCTTGCAAAGGGGGAATCATAGTAGCAGGAGCATGTGTCCACAGCTAAGAAGCAGAGAGCAGCAGCTGATGCTCATTCCCATTCTCCAGCATCCCAGCCAGGAAAAGACAGCACCTAGTTCTCCCGCTGATTAAACACACTCAAGATAACCCCATAGGCACGTGCAGAGGCCCATCTCCCAACTAACTCTAATTTCTGTCAAGTAGACAGCATTAAGTGTCATGCTGAGGACTGTTTTAGTCCAGGAGATTCTTGGTCTGATAACAGAAGATTCTGCTCTTCACCAGTTCAGAAATGGCCAGGAGGGAGGTACAGAGGGTGCTGAGCATTTGATAAATTACTGTGTTCTATTTCACGTTCTGCCTGTTTCAGAAAAGTCTATCTCCAAACTACTAAGGTATTTGACAGTAAGATGCTGGGAGTGTAAACATTTTACTGTCCTTCTTTGTGGGGACTAGTAAGAGAGCCTGGGCTTGAAGCAGACATTATTGCATGTGTATGTTCCCTATCACTGTGTTTATCTTAAAACGGGAACACAAGGGTTGAAGATATGGCTTAGTAGGTCACCAAACTTGAGCTCTGAGTTTGATCCCCAGAATTCCGTGGTGAGAAGAGAGAACTAATGCCCTCAAGTTTGACCTCCCAACACACACACATGCACACATGCACACACGCGCACACACACACACACACACACGCACACACACACACTGAATAAATAGAAATAAAAGTTTTAATGTGAACACAAAGTTTAACTGTGAGCCAAGGTGGGTAAGTGGAGTAGAGGTGTGTCGCGTGGACACTACACTGCATGCTCAGTGAAGGCTGGTACTAACATTTCTAGTTCTGTGTCACGTGGACACTACACTGCATGCTCAGTGAAGGCTGATACTAACATTTCTAGTTCTGTGGGAATTGGCTTGGATGGCTCCTGACCATTATGGTCTTAAAGGGGAGAAAGGGCAAAACAACAAGGAGTGGACAGCATCAACTTAGTTTTTAGGGACTGAAGAGATTAGTAAACCAGAGCCCAGAAGGGTTTTCAGAAATGCCCATGCATTATAACAATCACTTGTTCAATGTTTTCATGATTTGTGGTAAGCAAACAATCAGGTTGTTGCGTTGTCTGCTACTGTAGAATATTAATCATTTCTGATTTGAAGAGAGACTTATGGCTTTAGAGTGCTTGGTTGCTTTATGTAAACTGTAGTCTGGGACTTTTTTCAAAGCATCGCACTTGAGCTAAAGCTTCTGCTCATGGAGATGCCCCAGCTCTAAAGCCACCTGCTTGTTTTCCTTTGCAAATGCCCTCCTCCCTCCAACACCACACTCCTGGCATGCTACTTCAACTCCAGGTTTCGCCAGTGCTGTGAAGACGCCTACCTGATTTTACGGCGGCATGGGAACCTCTTCATCACCCTCTTTGCCCTGATGCTGACTGCAGGGCTTCCTGAGCTCACATCAGTCAAAGACATACAGTATCTTAAGGTAAAGACCCTTTCTTTGTATGTTTGTTGAACTTGGTGGGCACAGAGCTCAGTTAGAGCTCCATTCAACATACCCAAAGGGAACTGGCAAGACGGCTCAGATGGGAAGGCTGCCTGCTGCCAAGTCCGAGGATCTGAGTTCAGTCCCTGGAAAGTGAACTGACTCCTTAAGATCCCCTCTAACCTCCATGCACATGTGCGCACACACAGACAGGCACACACAGGGCTATAAATGTGTGCGTGAGCGTGGACACACACACAGAGAAAGACAGGCAGACATGTATACACAGGGCCACACACACATAACAAACAGAGAAACAGACAGACTCACACATGGGCATGCACACAAAATAAATGTAATTTTTTTAAACAGAGAAAACTTAAGAGATGACAACCTCCAGTCATCTTTTTAAAAGTAAAGCATTCAAAGGGAGTGGAACAGCGACTGGGGGAATCTGTGAGGTTCAAATGAAGGAGCAGTTTCGAAAGGAGTTTTTAACTTCAAACGACTTCTCCATAATAGAAGGGGCATGCAGAGGAGGGCATGAGGCCGGGGCTTTTTGCCCACACACAGGGTCAGCAGCTTCCTGTCACTGGTTTCCACCAGTTTGCCTTTGCTTGCTGTGTTAATGGCCCTACAGCATCTGACCAGAAAAGCATTAATTACAAACTCATTTCATCCTCAACAACGCTTTGCTAGGGCCATATTGTCATTCCTCCTGGGCGATCATCTTGCCCCGCAGGTGGCAGTTATATGGGAACATGGAACTCTCTGTCTGATGGATGGGGAGGCTGACCACACTAGTCTCTCATAGGTGATGATGTTTGCATGTCTCTGTCAAGGCTGGATGGAGTCAGATTTTTCTCCTTCATCTTTAGGACTCTCTTGCCTTAGGAAAGAGTGAAGAAGAAGCACTCAAACAATTTAAGCAAAAGTTTGACGAGGCGCTCAGGGAAAGCTGGACTACCAAGGTGAACTGGATGGCTCACACAGTTCGCAGAGACTACAGGTCTTAGCACCGGCCTTGACTCCTATGGACTTGTCCGTTTGCTTCCTTTCATTTTGCACTTGCACTAAACTGAACATGACCCTGCCAGAAATGCAAAGGGAATCCTGAAACTCAGAGCGAAATCAAGAACAAGGTCTCCCACAGAGCCTAATCTGAACCCCCTGTGATGCCCACCCTCTGTTTCTCGAATGCTTCCAAGACTCACCATGAGTATTGTCAACAGCATGGAGGACCCTTTCCTGCTGATCTTGCACGTGAGGAATGCTACCAGGGACTGTGTGGGATTTTTTTTTTTTCCTTCAGTATTTGGTACTTTACCAGAGAGGTGTAAATACTTCTTTTCAGTGTTGTGACCAAGTACTGCCACTCAGCCAACAACTTACCATTACATTTGGGGGCTGGGAGCTGTTGTGACTGTCCAAACGAGGCTTCAAAGAAAGGTATCTCCCTTCCTTTTTAAATTATGTAAGCTACAAATTACATTGATTATGTTGAACTTATTATTTTTCAAAGGAAATATTTTAAATCTGTGAAAACTCACTAATTTTGTTAATATTTATCTATCATGATAGCATCATTCCAGCCAGACTTGCTGAGAATCTATTGGTGGGGCAAATATAATATATATACATATGCTGCATATATATTTATAAAATTTCTAGTGGGAGTTCTATATAAAAAGATGTTTCTTTGGTATTCTTCAGCCTGTGTTTTAAAGTTTTACAAAAGCAGAGCTTTTGCCTAAGTTACTTTGCAATTAACTGTGGACCCAGCTCTTCCGTCTGCTTCAATACTAAGGCGTACACGAATGCAGTTTCTCTATGTAGCTCTGTGAGTTCATTTCATAGAACACAATACTTGAGCAGACAGAGCCAAGGAAGTGAGCAAATGAAAAGGAATCTATTTATGGAATAAACTTCAAACCTAAATTTCAGTATTTTAGTAATATGCCAGCTGTTCTTACTGTATTTATTAAAATGTATAAATAATGTGATTTTTTTTCCAATGGTATTAGTTCAGATTGAAGTGGATTCATGCCACGTGGAAATCTTTAATTTATTTGTTGAGGTACCATATAGTTAGGGTGCTAGGTGACAAGTAATGTTAACATGTGCAATAGGAACTACTGGTTTGGTGTGTAAATGGATGCTCCTTCTGAGTAATGGCGGAGTGCTCGCCTTCGCAGCACACAGCCTCAGTACTGTCAAGGTCCAGCAGAACTACTGCTTCTTCTCCAAAGAGAATGGGAGCCCTCAATCCTCAGTGACACAGGAAAGACAACTGAGTGCTTGCCCTGTGACTTCAGTTTTCTATAGGAAATTTATTAAAGATTGTTTAATTTTGTTGTCCTTCTTAATGTTCTCTGTCAAATAAACGGGTGGTTTCGGCTGTTCGGGGACATGCGGGCCTTTTCTTTGTGGGAAACACAGTGTCTTTGGAGCCTGTTGCCACTGGGACTCTCCCAAAATGGCCAAGTCAGTAGACAAACCAACCTCAGGAGTGAGCTGAAACTCAGAACCTCTGCCCGACTTCCCCTTGCTTCCTAGCTCCACCATGGACGGTCCGGAAGGCCTCCTGGACTGATGGACGCCTAAGGGGAGGGGGTGTTTTTATCAGTCTGCTATTACAGCCTCATTTCCCTCGCCTCTGCTGCACTGCTCATGTCCACATGCGTGTGGGAAAGCCAGCATACTCCATCCGCGCTTGCTGAATTGCTTGTCTCTGGCTGAGAAGCCCCGATGGAAGGCACAAAGCTAGCCAGCCCCTAGGATGAATTAGCACTCCAGGCTGTACAAACATCTGCTTGAAGAAGGACTGACTGACCAGTGCCTTGCCGTTGAGCAAGCTGTAGTCCACATTTCTCTATATCCTTAAATACCAATCTAGTTACCTAACACATTTTCTGTCTCTGACTCTGAGTCAAAATCCCAGGCTCCTTCCACGTTGGCTTTGAGAACTTGTGATAATATTGGGGCTAGATTACCAGGAAGCATGGCCCTACAGATAGTAAAGGAACCACATGTGGACAGTGATTATTCTTTGTCCCAGAGTGTATGTTTATTCAGATTAATGAAATCCGAGTCGGGGTGTTAGGTGTCTGTAATCCCTGCACTGGAGAAGTGGGAGCTCAGGACCATTCTCAGCTACAGTGAATTTGAGAGCAACCTGAGCTATACCAGACCCCGCCTCAAAACAAGCCATCAAGTAGAAATGGTTTCTAGTATTTTCTAATTTAATTTTCAGAAGTATTTATATTTGTGCCACCCTAAAATTGGAACTTCCACCCACAAACTACTTCCTATTCCCTCCCCTGACTGAGACACCCTAACAGCGCTGCTTACTCTCCTTCGGTCCAGCAGGTTCTCTTTAAAAAGTCTTAAAAGTTGTTTATGCATCTACCTTAACCAGCTCCTGTTTTGGTCCCTTGGGGCATCCTTAAACCCAGGCACTTGTGCCTCAACCTCTGCCATTGGGTTGCTTGGCATTTTGGGGAAATGCCTCTATGAGACTGTGCTATGGTAGGCCTGTAGGGCCTTGTCTTAACTAGTGATTGTTGTGGAGGGCCCAGATTGAGTGAGTGGTACCACCCCTGCCATAGTGGTCCTGGGTGGTACAAAAAGTAGACTGAGCAAGCCAGTAAATAGCACTCCTCCACGTGCTTCATTCGGTCCCTGCCCTGCTTGACTTTCTGTCCTGACTTTCTTCAATGACGACTGTGATGTGGACTAAGCTGAAGTAACTTTCCTCCTCCAAGTTACTTTTGGTCATGGCATTTTATCACAGCAGAAGAAGGCACAAGGAGGAAACTAAATCCTCCTGTACCACCAACTGAAGTTGGAATAATGTAACTTTATTCCCCACTTAATAAATAAGCTGGAATAGACAATTGTTTATTCCTGAAGGAATTTTAGATTTGAGTTCAGAAGCCACCCGATGTGGGAGGCCAAGACATTTCCACCCCCTAGGTTTCTCTGCAGCAGTGTCTTCTCTGTGACTGTATCTTAGAGCACCTACCTCAAGGTCACCTGGCTGATCTTCATGTCCCCACGTCCCCCTAATGTTACCTTCTTCTGTCTAGAAGTGCTGAGAATAAACAAAACACAAAGTCTTCATTAAACAGTGTGACAGAAGTGAGGGGCTTCAGTGCTTGATCTTTCCCTAGATCAAGCACATAGAATGTGATGAGGTAAAGATATAAATTCCAAATACTGTGCACCGGGATTGATAGCTGGTAGGATTCCTGTTTCCTTGGCCTCTTTAGGTCGTTCCCAAGGTCCCTCGTATCGTGGAAATGTTAAGCTACACAAAGTAGGGATGCCCTGTGATGTTTTATTGAGGGAGAAGTCACTTACATGAGAAGCCAAGGAAGCCGAGAGCCAAAAGTCCACTCGCTGCTCTCCGAGACTCAACCAAAACCCGAAGAGTGTGCATCTTATCCCCAGCTCTTTTATCCCCATACGTTCTATGTACCTGTGACCACACCCAGAGTGGTAGTGCTACCGGTACATACGATCTCTCCCTACACCCTCATACCATCTTCCATCTGTGTCCAGATTCCTTTTAAGTAAGCAGGCTCTGCACATGTTAAGTTAGGATGTCCCTGAGTGTGGCTCTGCCATTGGTCTTTAAATAAAGTGTTCTCCATCATCTTACTGTGTAGCCAGTATTGCGGCTGAATTGTTAATCTTCCTGGTTAACCCCCCCCATACTTTCTGGCCCAATAAAAAGGAGTTTTCTAATATATTACTTGCTATGTGCCAGGCAGGAGAGAGAGAGAGTAGTTAGGTGGACATTGTCCAGGAAGAGCAACACAGAATGAACAGAATGACAGAAGAGAGGACAGGGGAACCTATCCTACTGCAAGATCTTTGGGTACTCACACTTTCGACCCTGCACCCTACCTGATACCTTCAGCCATCCCTGCCTAGCTCCGCCCTTAAATCACTAGTTCACGTTGACCAACTGGTGGAATAATCTTTAAACAAATCTCCAAGGCCCAGCTGCAGGTTGGGATCCTTACTAGGCAAAAGTAGTCTCCATGCAGTCTACTTCAGTAAACCCACCATGGTAAGAAGATTGCTAATGCCACTGCCCAATTATGTCACCTCCTAGAACCCCAGGCCAGGCTCTGCAATGAGCAGCAGAAGGTGGCACAGATGACAGATGTCTACCCAGTGGGGCGAGGAGCATGGATTACTTTTGGTTTCTGGAGGGAAGGCAGGCGCCAGGAGAGGACAAGGGGCACAAACTCCAGACAACTGAACAGTGAGGTCAAGGAACGCAGCTCAAAAGCAGCACAGGGAATTTTCTGTTAACGCCAAGCTGTGCCAGGTTGCCCTGGTAACCTCACGTTGGGGCGGAGCTGGCACAGGTGCCGGATGCACCTCCCCTGTTGGATGGGGTAACCCTGGTGCCTGTAGACACATACCTAGATGAAAGGGAAGCTGGGGACCCAGGAACAGCTGAGTTCCTGACACAGCCACCCACTGGACAGTCACCATGGTGCTTCTGCTGGGCTTTCTGCTCCTGTGGGGAGTCCCAGGTGAGTAGGGGCCACCAGGGAAGGTATGGGAAAGGACAGGAGGGAGCCTCTGCAGGGACCCACCGGGTAGAAGAGCTGGGACTAGAGCTCTGACATGGAGTGGGGTGGGGTGCCTCCTTTTTCCCAGAGCACTGACACCCAGAGTGCAGGATGTGATTTATTCTTGCCTTGTGTCATGCCTCAGTCTCCCCTTAGTGCCTGTCCAGTGATTTCAAAGCTTGACCATGTGTGGACTGACAGAAGTCTTATTCACTGGACAGCCAGCTGCCCTGAGCCTTGGATGGTGCCGGCTGCCTTAAGAGAGAGGCACTGAATGAGCACGTTCTTAAGTCTAGAGGCCAACCACAGCCAGGATTGCTAAATAAAAGGAAAACCAAAACAAGAAAGTAGTGCTGTTTCTTACAGACCCAGAGCAGAATGCAAACGGGAACTCTGCTCTCTGTCTGCTTCAACTCCAGAATGCATTGGGTGATTTAAAAAAAAAAAAAACAAGACTGAATGCCTTGGTAATTCCTAAAAGAAACACAAATACATAAATACATTGTGTTCCTATGTTCTCTCGTGATGGGGAGGAGGGCACATTAAAAATGCAAGGACCAGTCACATGTATGGTATAGCCTGTAATCCTAGCACTTAAGTTGAAACAGAAGGATGGTGACTCTGTGGACAATCTGGGTTGCATAGGGAGGCCTGTTATTAAGTGTTCTGAGTTCTGACTTTCTGTGGCAATGGTCTGCCTCTTAAATCTTTATTACACTCTTGGATGCCACAGGTGTGAGCATTACCCATGAGCCAGTGCTCTGTTGCCAACCCTCTTCCTTATCTGAGTCTATATGGCTGCCCCCACCCTCTGGATATATTGTAACCTGAGCTGAAATTTCCATTAATGTTTCCTGAAAAGATAAAGGGACAGTACCCAGTTTCCATGATCTATCCCCAGTGACGCTGGGGTTGAAAAATCACACTGTGTTCTCTGGGGGGGAAAATAGAGCTATCAAAAGCAGAAATGTGGACAGAAAAAAGTCACCTACAATAATATCTGCCCTGAATTTGAATTTTTTTCTGGAAAGTTCCATTTCGATGGGCACAGTCTTAACCAAGGGCATTCTGAAACTGAGCACTAATCTTTCCACTCTTTGGAATCTAATTCTCACCTCCTCTACTCCTGTGAAGCTGCAGTGTTCACTGTGGTCACATCCAACAAGTCACAGTTCCAGCCTCTATTTCCTGCAGCTTGTTTGGCTCTGAACAACACGGGCCTTGGCCTTTCCTAGCTTTCAGCATCTGTCATTTCTCTGAACTCTTGACATTGAACTACAGGGTGTCATGAGGAGGAAGGGTTCTTTTCCAGTCATGCTTGGGGGGTGGGGGTGGGGCTAAGCACTTCAGATACCATGATGTCCAGGTCTCTTTCAAAATTTGGGGAATTTTCTCTCCTTCCGTCCCATCCTTCCTGGAGTCTGAATCAAAGGTCCTGAACATGCTATGAAATACTCAGTTGCATTTCCAGCCCTTTTTCTATTTTAACTGCATTCAATAAATACTTATTTACAGAGTAACTACTGTGTCCTAGGAATTGTGTGAAGTGATTTGAAGGCTAAAAAAAGGAAGAAAAAAAGTTTGTTCCTGTCACATGTATCCCCCCTGTTTAAAATTCAGTTGAGATACAATTACACCATTTCCCATGTCCCTCTCCTTCCCCCTTTCCCTGCCATGCCCCAAATCCATGGACCTTCTCCTCTTTAACCACTATTGTGACATATACAGGCAAATGAATAAACATAAACACAGCCTGCTGACTCCATTTGGTATTACCTTCATTTATGTTTCAGGGGTGACCATTTGCTGTTGGATAACCAATCAGGGAGCTCATTCCTTGGGAAACTAATTCTCCGTCTCTCAGCAGTTGTTACTTGCTCGAAGCTCTTCATGTAGGGTGGGACCCTGTGAGATTTCCCCCATCTTTGTTGGGGTGTCAACTGCTGTTGAAATTGTCCGGGTCTTACTTGGGCAACCATGATGTTGAGACTTGGGGGCTGTAACTTCCCTGTCATAGTTAGAAGGCACAATCTCACAGCAGACTTCCTGAGCCTCTTAATCGCACTATCTTTCTGCCCCATCTCCCATGTTGTTCACTGAGTCTTTGTCTCACTAAGCAGCTCGACTGGCCTTGAACTCGATCCATGTGCTGCTTGAGCCAAGATTACTAGTGCCCACTGGAATGATTTGTATTATTTTCTAAAGTTGATGAAAGTGTAGGCAATTCGACTTGTTTTGCCAGATGATTGTCAAATTGGCGTCTGCGTATTGAGTTCTTGGGAGTGGGTAGAAATGAACCTTTTCATTGAGAAGGATGAGTATGTTCTAATTGTCATTTTATGTGTATGAGCACTTTGCCTGCATATTTTTCTATGCACCATGTGTCTGCCTGGTGCCCACTGAGGCCAGAAGAGGGCATCAGTTCCCCCTTTATGTAGATGCTGTGAACTGGACCCAGGTCCTCTGGACGACCAACCAATGATCTTAAATCTGGAGCCATCTCTCCAGGCCCAAGGCAAAAATAACTTTAATTTGAAGTTTAGTAGTTCCCCAGGAAGAGTGTGTCTGTGTGTGAGGGGAGGAGGGAGGCTCGGATCATGACCCAATTCAGAAAATACTTATACAAGCTCGATATGCATTTAAAAAATCTCTTAACTTTTTTCATTATAATTTACATTTCATTGGTCCTAGTTTATGAATTACATAGTTAAAATTTTTATAAGCAACCCCAGTCCCCATGAAAGAAACTTGGGGGCAAAAGAATATGGTCCATATTTGTGGACCAGATGCCGTAATGGTGCTTGTGGAGATCTTGCTGTGGGCAAGGCTTCATTCCAGAGTCAGGAGTCGCTTACTCACCCAGCTGTGCCACCAGATAGAGCAAGGCAGGTGCCATGCAAGAAAACGGATTGTTTTCTGATTATTCTCCTGGGCCTTGCTGGCTTCAAAGGCGTGGCTCCTGCAGATCCATAGGTCATCATGCTTGGTTGGCAGGCACTTTACCTGCTGAGTCATCTCCCAATTCTCCTTCGGCTTCTTTTTTTTTTTTTTTTTTTTTGGTTTTTTCGAGACAGGGTTTCTCTGTGGCTTTGGAGGCTGTCCTGGAACTCGCTTGGTAGTCCAGGCTGGTCTCGAACTCACAGAGATCCGCCTGCCTCTGCCTCCCGAGTGCTGGGATTAAAGGCGTGCGCCACCAACGCCCGGCCCTCTTTCGGCTTCTTAAGGCCTATATTTATGTAGAATGGGGTAGAACACTCGCCCAGCATGGGTGAGGGTCTGGGTTTACTCTCCAGGACCACAAAAAAGAAGTACATTAAAAAAAAAGTTTTTAAAAAAGCTTTTTGGTTGGGTTTGGTGACATATACCCATAATTCCAACACTGGGGAAGCCGAGTCAGGAGGATCACGAGTTTGGAGCCAGCTTGGGCTATAGAATGAGACCTTGTCTCAAGAAAAACAAAACAACAACAAAAAGAACCCTCACAACTTGGAGTTGAAATATAGCGGTCATACACAGAACAGGGCATAGTTGAGAGATGTCTTGGGGTCCAGGTCAGAACGTCATCACAATGAGCCAACACATCTGAGTACCTCCCTCCCAGATCGGGAAATAGAGCAGGATGTGCATCTGAGAAGCCGGCTCCTTCCACAACTGTCCTAATGAGTCTGATTCTGACAATGCAGGCTCATGCTCAGATCTATCGTCCACGGGGCTATGCAGCAGGCCATTGTGCAGTTTCCCTTTTCAGGGATGGAAGTTTGTTCAGGCTGGTAGTTGATTATATGCATGGCTGTATTGAGTTCTTATCTTCCACTCCAAGACAGTGAGTCACACGATCTGGTGTCGGTGGACATTTTGCCTCCAGTTCTTTGCTGTTGTCAGAATGCCACCATGGCCTTCTTGCCTGTGTATTTTAGTGCCGTGGTGAGTTTTTCTGGACCTATGATGGACTGAGTTTGGTTCACTTTTCTCTAGGCACCCTCCCTCTGCTTGCACTTGGGTTAGAGCTGAATAGCTGGACACGCCCTCCAGAGATAAGCACCCAGTCCTTGTAAGGGAGTAAAATCCCAATGCTTGAGGGTGGAACCTATAAGTAGGTTCCTGTAATAGAGGAAATACTGTATAATCTGGTCTCCCCTTTGATCTGTGGACCTTGGGATCCCGCTGGATTAATTCTGATGGGATACAGAGAGAACAGTTAATACTGCCCGTGGAGACAGAGAGGGAGTGGAGACCAGAAAGTTTGCTTTGGTAAACCATCAGAGGGCTCTTGAATGGAGGCAACAGAGTCCCACAAGGGCTCCCACACGTGTGGCTTACTCATCTTTGTCACTGTTACCCCTTTTGATTTGTTCCTTCTAGATTTAATCTGTACAGTTGTGGTCTTAGTGCAGTAAGGACTTCGTGTCTGTGCTCACGTTCAGTTGTGTTTCGTCTCACGTTTTTCCTCTACTGTTTAGACATGTGAGCTTTGTTTCTTTTGTTTCGTAATGAGCTTCCCCAGGCTTGAAGTTCACTAAGAACTAATTCCTTCCTCGTAACCAGGCTCTTCTAAAACCAGGACTGATTGAAATCTCCTGACTCTGCCAGTCAGTAGAACTGGACCTGAATCTCATGGCCACCTCTGAGATTTGACTCTTTGTTTGGGGATGTGTTGTTTGTGTTTGTTTTTTGAGGCCAGGTTTCTCTGTGTAGCCCTGGCTGTCCTGGAATTCACTTTGTAGACCAGGTTAGCCTGGAACTCACAGAGGTGCCTCTGCCTCCAAAGTGCTGGGGTCAAAGGTGTGCACCACCACCACCCAGCTGAGACTTGACTTTCTGAACCATCCAAAAGATTACAACACTACTGCCCGTCGAGGTCAAAGGTACTCTGTTAAAGGATAAAGTCATACTATTGTCCCTTCCCTTTAGAGTTCAACAAAATATGTCTGTCAATCACCCAAATAGGAAAATTCCTCAGG